ACCCGGTTTGTTCGATTTTCCGGGCGACCTCCGCACGGTCCACGACCCCCCTACAAGCCAGGAGGGACCCTTTTTTATTGAGTTATTAGACTCATCCGCATCGTTTCCCTGCAATCTAGAGAGGGATCCCTTTGATTGTCCTATTTGTTTAACGAGACGACGCAAGCCCGTGCCCACGTCGCTAACTCTCTCACAAAAAGTATCCTGTGCTTTAATTGGTCCCTCGATTATGCTCAATTGCCCTCTCGAAATGATACTCTCTGCCAGCCGTAAAAAAATCTGCTCCAAGATTTTATAAATCACGATTCAAAATAAAAGTACATTTTTACATTTCTCGTTTTACTTGTTCAACACTCAGCCTACCACAGCGGTCAAATGACCGCTTTTGAGATTATTTTTTATTATATTATTTAATTATTACATGGTAATTATTTTGTGTTTTATTGCCTATGCTAAATTCTGTATTATCTATAATCAACTTTTAAAAAGCGGTCATTTGATCGCCATCGGTAGATTTAGTGTTAAATGTTTGATCGTATTTTAGTTCTGTGATTTTTATGTTCTCCGACGTGAGAAGTAAAATTCTGATGCGTTTCAGAGAAATCACTTATAGCATGGCTCCAACCAAAGAACTACAGCTGGATGTATCCCAAATGGCAATAAACAACTACCACTTGACACGAAGAGCTAGACAAACCTAAGACCACCCTCTTCATTCGCATCCTCACGCTAAGAGCGACTCCCTTTTCACGCCTAGTTTCATTCGGCCCCGGAGAGGGTTGCTGAATAATTAAACAATGTCCTACTGGGGAATAACTAAAGGAGTCACAAAAAGTACGACGCTTATTTACTCTCAGCATATTCTACCATCGTTTACTGATCAAAGTACACACTTCTACACTATCCTCAATGAAAGTCTGGGATCCTAGTTACTAGAAAATTGTTGAAAAGCAATTTAAAGAGACTCGAGCAACGAATATCGACTCAGAACGGGTCTCGCATTCCGCATGATCGGTATCATAAAACAGCGTTTGTAATTAAATTAAGCGAACCGCAAGAAGCGAACGTGTAGACAGCACAAACGCAGTGGACTATGTGGCTGAATATCGTTTTGCTCGTTCGAGTCTCAAGAAAGGCACGAAATAAATTACGCTGGCCTTATCGGGGTCTAATCTAATCTCTGCATACAGGGTGAGCCACTAAAATATGAATATTACGACCATTTGATGAAAAATATCTCGTATGAATTCTCAGTTCTACAATGCTTCTTCATTAAGGATGTATTGGCTATACAGTCAATCCCAAAGTTTATGTACCTTAGAAAAACGCATTTCCTATAATTAAAAAGAAATCAAACGTCAGAAGAATAATGCTAAAAAGTTTTACATGGAAATTGTAGATCTCGTTGTCCTCTACAAAAAAAGGTCCTATGCAATTTTCCCGTAGATTCAACGGTTTGAGAGTTATTAGCCAAAAACGAAAATTTGGAAGAAATTGAAGGGGTACCCCTTGGAAAAATCTCGGAAAAATCGAAAAATTTTTTTTGTTGTTTATTATTAGCAATGTTTTTCCGACGTCTGATTTCTTTTTAAAAAATGCGTTTCTAAAGTGCATAAACTTTTGGGATTGACTGTATAGCCAATACATCCTTAAATCTATTCTCTTACTGCTTGCTTACAAGTAATAAAATTTCTCTTTACTGAAGCTGTATAATAAAAGCAAAGAAATCCTCACGAAGTTTGAGGAATAAATTCATTTTTGCACTTGATAAAAACTGTGAAATTATTTCTGTTGGTATTTCTTATGAAATATAATAAAATTAATAGAAATCACGTTATTTTCTTGTTAATTTTAATCCTGTGGATTTCTATTCCTGAGGACGTTCCTTAATGTCTCACCGTGTATAGGTGAAACCTAAGTCGCGGTCGATAATTACCATCCAACGATTTATCGCCGATCTAGATTCAATATCTGTTACCCGATAACCTGAAAACCCTTTCCCTCGGATCGTTTCGCGGCACTTTCGAGCGTGACGAATGCCGAGAATTATCCCGTGGCCTGCGCCGGGAAACGAATAACCTAGACCCAGTGATCGCGGAAAAACCGATACCTCGCCAGAGGTCGATGGCTCGGTTTCGAGTTTTCAGAAGATATTGGCTTCCTGCATAATCGTAGACCCTCTTCCGTGGAAATTACCACAAGTTCCAACACGATGCACGATCGATGTCGAAATTAATTTCTTTTCTACAAATTTTGTATCATTTTACACTAGAACTTTTATACGTCTATTCTATCCCAACGTTCTCGTAATCCTGCGCGTGATGTACAATTGCGGATCGAAGGATACTAAATTCGACTGGTTTTTCATCAGATTTACTGATGATTAAGTTAGCAAAGTTGAAAATGAAATTTGTCCTACGCTTCTACGATAATTTCAACTCTCCCTAGAACTCCGTAATACTAAAACTAAATTGAGCTGCACTAAACTATAATTCTACTCTATTCTCCGATAACATTCTTGCACCGGCTCATCCACCGAGCACTCTAATCTCTAACTACTAAATTCCGACAGAAACACCGAATTCTACGAATAGTACCTGAAAATTTAATTTCCACATATCGCACGTTATTGCACACCGTTTTCGCGGAACGATGGCCTTAACAGTGTGATAAGAAATCGCTTTCGTCTGTTCGACACTCGATACAATCGCCACGGAACCCCACCAAATAGTTCATTCTTTTGTCGAAACAAACTAAGATTCATTGTATCGCATCTTTAGAATTCGATCCACTCTCTATTATATTTGATAATATTTCTTATGCAGGACGTCTGAAGATCGTAACTATAATGGAATGAATGAATGAATGCCGCGGCATTCTTGGATGCCGTTCCCTCGCGAAAGCGACTCGTTTCTTTCCTCGTCCCGCAAGAACTAGGCGAATCTTGGCTCGTGTCTGCTAACACGAGTCGAACCCGAGTGTGGAAAATAGACGCGAGGCACGAGAGTATACACGGATAGAGAGCCGGTGTTTTCACAGCTGCAACGAGATACCCGTCGCTGTTCGACCGCGTTATGATCGTTTGTTTCTGCTAAACAATCCCGACACGACGTCGGAACGTGACGAGAACCCCGGGAACAGAATCGGTATTTAAGGAACTAGTTGTTCCATGTTGTAATAACGTTTTCCGACCGTACCCCGAACGATCAAGCGTATTTTCGCAAATTGATTCGAGACCTGTCGTCATAACGAATTTAGAATAGCATTCCTTAAAATCGAGATACGTTCGTTACTTCCCAAATGCGTTTCATATTTTGTTAAATGGTGGTAGAAAATTGTGTAAACTTTATAGACTGAACCCATGCTTAAATTACTGAGTTCGTTAATGAGGATTCATTATAAATCACGAAGTTAGAATCTATTGAAGCAACTGCACTCTGCTAAAAATTACGTGCATTGGCTTTCTCTGCTGTGGCTGCATTTAAGAGCTTAACGAGGAACTGGGTCGCGTTCTTAAAAGAAGAGAACAGTTTCCGTAGCTGAAAGTTAACGATATCAGAGATAAAACATAAGCGGAAGCCCTTCGGCAACAGAGAAATGAAAGTTAACGTTCTGACGCGTCATCCGTCAATTCACAAGTCTTTAATCGGTCGTCGTTCAAAAAGGAAAGAATAGTATCCAAGCCCTTGACTCTTAATCCCCTGCCCTAACGTGCATGTATACGTATGTATATATATGCAATATTCTTTGAAGCCGGTTTTAGTTGTGAGCGTAATTATTGGAAATCCATTACTTCTGAATGAAAAGTCTTGCATGAGCAGTCCCGAGCCTAGCTGTCTCCTCGATAATACTAAACCGGCAACTACGTAAATTCTATTTACTATTTCATGAAATTCACCTACGATAAACTTGTTTCTACTTTCTAGCTTTGCGACCGAGAGAATAAAACGAATTTCGAAATTTCCTACAGCTAAATTCTCAAATAACATCAAACTGACTTATTGTTAGGGTACAAAGCCGCTGGAACAGAATATTTGTAGTTATGGAATTGTAAACGCGATACGGCATTGAATTAGCTATCCGTCAAGGTGGTACAGAGACAACGTGCTCGTTACATTCATGAGGACAATTAAGGACGGGCTCATACATCGCGCAATTAACGGGACGCGTAACAGATGCAGATGCATAGTGAGAAACGTTTAAGGGGCGCGCGGCATCGAACTGGAATTTGGTATGTAGAAAACGCGTCGACCAAGGAGGAAACACGCATCATATTCGTAAGCAAGAAGAGCGTCGTTGGATGCACGTGAAGAGACGGTCGCATCCGACGCGTTTACGCAGCAATTGAATATTTATAAAGCGCGGCAATGACTCTGACCGAATGCTAAAACGCATCTCCCGTATATACTTGCCGGGGGATTTTACCTACTTCTGCAAGTAAAAGAGGGTTTCGGTATAAGCCTCGCCCCGAAAGGAGTGTCATTATTTTATCACAAGTCTCCAATTAAAACATGCATCGACCGATTCGGCAGAGACAAGTAATCTCTAGTATGAACGATACTAAAGCGAAAAATAGCGCCGATTCAAAAACGTTCGATAAACGTCTGATCTGTGACGCCGTTTTGTTTGAATTTTCAGAGACGACAGAATGTACGCGGGACTTTTTACCGGACGCAGCATCCCATGGAATTTCTGTCACTTTTACAGCGATTAAAGGGCAAAGAGTATCCATTCATGAGCCACGGCAAGGGGAACGTAATAACCTTGATTGCACTCCGAAGCCACGGTGTATCGACGTTGCAATCAGGGAAGATTCATTCACAGTTGCAATTCGATTCGAGCTGTGCGATCCGAATTAATAATCACGGTAACGTTTTACTTGAGAAGACCGACGAGATACGATTTCTCGCGAACGAGCCATTTAGCTCCCCTTCCCCGCCATTGCATAATAACCGATTACGGTGCTACGAAATAATAACGAGTGCTCTTTTGTCACTCACCATTTTTCGGGAGGATCCGTGTATCCGACGTCCCCGGAGACACTTGCGGCTGCGATTGACTATGGACGCACAGTAACACGTTACATCGACTTTGACACACTTCTCGCGAGCCCCGAAAGACCGGTTGAGTTTACGCGTTTCAAACGTGAGGACAAAATCTGTACGACACGACGTATTTCTTAATGATCGAGGTAGTATGTTGACACTCACAGACGAACCGATTATGTTTTCTCGTCTCGTTCAAGCGACTAACAGCGGGGCACATCAAAACAGTCGGTCACCGGTCGACATTCAGGAGCACACTACAATTAGGACTGATCACTCCGAACACCCGAGACAAACTGACCAAAACTGACCTGCTCCGCTTTGCTTTCGTAGCGCGGTCGTACATCGTACGTCGTACGTTTGCGGCAAGATGGCGGCACAAGGCAGAGTCGCGGCAATATTTGAAACGTTCTACGTATGGACATTTGCTTCACTGTGTCTATGAGGTTTCTGTCTCGTAATAAATTAATGTTAAAAATAATGCATATGATTGTCCAACGAATAACAAACTGAACTTTGTACACGAAAATAATAGCATACTAAATAAAGATTTTTTGAACCTTTTGATATGTGGTAAGGTTGAAAATGGAACTAATAATACTCTAAAAATTACTTTCTCGAGACACATCTGCAGTTTGTATATCTGACTCGTCCAATGGTTCTCGATTTATATCGGGACCTGACATTTATTGTACAATGATATACAGCTATCTACATCGAACAAAGGAGAAAGCAAATAAATAAATTTAGAGAAATCACCCTATATGGTTTTGTCTTCGGAATTCCCACATTGATCCTCCCTAAGAAACGACCGGTCGAGAGAGCAAGTCAATTGTTTTTAAATAATATAAATTAGAGGCTAAGAACGTAGGACAATAATGGCTGGGCTCGAACAAACAATCTGTCTTTCACTCATGCAATCGCGTACAGTACAATGCGCGAGAAAAGAGAGCAAAATGCGCAATTCACTAATTTATTGTGTTTCTACGAGCCTTTGCTCTTGATTGAATCGGAGATCGTGAAACTCGATTTCTCCTCTTCCTTATTCCTTTTCGAACTAATCATTCGTAAAATGTTCTAATTTCGAATCGATTTCACACGCAATCTTAATGAGTAAAGCAGCGGCTCGCCTCCGCGATTAATAAGGTTAATACTTATTATGTTTTAATGAATAAGTTTAGATAGAAATTGAGGAAAATAAGGTTAATACTTATTATGTTTTAACGAATAGGTTCAGATAGAAATCGAGGAAAATCCAAAAATCCCACGATGCACCCATCATTGGACTGAAGTTGCCTGCGAAACTCCCACCACTAAGCCGAAGCACGAGCGATATGAGCCGAAGACTTGCCTTGCCGCCTTGCCTCGCAAGTCTTTTGTTGGACAAGCAGCGTGTCGGACATATTTTCATCTCTCAAAACGTGCAATCACGCTTTGAGCAAGTTCAGACACGTTCCTATATTCTAATTACATCGAGTACTTTAAGGTAATAATTTCAATCTTATTAATAAATTAATAGTAATAGTAATATTGCATATTGTTCACGAATATTGTATTCACCGCAACTTGATTCACCGTCTTTGATTGAATTTGAATAATTTTTCCGTATTTGATTGAATACGTGTTTATTACACTCGAATTCTCAGTCTTATTCGTATTAACACAAGATTTAGAAGAATAGTTTGTAATCGTTTGAATATAGTGTAATATACGAATTAATTATGAACTTCGGTCGAGCACGAGGTCGATTGTCTTTTTACGAATAACACATCCATCTTTTTCGCCTCTAACTGTTCCTAGTGAGGTAAAAGTATTATTTTACAAGTTGATTATTTTGTAATAGAGTTTCAGACATTTTTTCTAAGAAAACTCGTTCAACCTTGAGCCTGTCGTGTGTTGGCTCGAGTGTAAACACATATTCGGATATAAAACATTGAGGACGAAACGTCGTTACATTTTTTAAAGCCGAATATCTCTTTTAAAGATTATTTTTAGTGATTGGTTGTACAGACACCAGTACGAAAATAAATTTAAAATAAATAATTGTATCATTTATCCGTACAATTTGAACACGAGACTTTCTTCTTTACGTTATGCTTGAAACATTTTTATCAAGTCCTCAACTGGACTGCTAAGTTCACAGTTGTAATTCTATCTCCGATCATTATTCTCTTCTTACCGGAACCTCGCTTATCGCATACTGACTACTATTACCAATATACTTTGATGCATTCTTAGGTACGAAAATGTTCGTTATTTTAAGTTTTAAATGGGAAGTGGGACAATTAAGTCATACACTGTTAATATAATTTTTATATCAGGAATAATACTGCAAGATAAACTAATATCGCACTCTTAATAGTAAACCCTGAAATTTAATAGGTCTTCGACTATTCGCTCACAAAAAAACGGTGAGTCTCAGGCCCGAGGGGAAGGGCCTGGTTTTTTCTTAATATCCTCACGTGTTTTGAACGTTATCGGCTCGTAACCTTCTCGAATGTTTTTCCTAGAAAAGATCAGATATCACGTCGTCCAGCCTTAACAAAGGCGTTCGGGTCCGAGTTCCTGGGCATCTGGGACTTGTCATTCCGCGCTTTCCCGCTCGGGTGTCCCATGCTGTTTGGTTCTTTTACAATATATAATTAAATATTTATTTCTGAAGCCCAAATCATGACTGGCCGCGCTGGAGGTCGGGGTCTAGGCCGGGGAAGAGGCAGGGGCATGGATGATAAAAGTAAGACTCCAGCCCCACGTCAAGCTGGTCATTCTCAGCCTGCTCCACCACCCCAGCAAAGTGCTTGGGGCCGTAAACCAGGTGCAGTACCACCACCGCAACAGCAACAGCAACAACAGCCGCAGCCACAGCCACAAGCAGGCCCTTCGGCTCAACAAAGAGCACCAGCGGTAATTAAAAAAATAAATATGTTCATACTCAACATCGATCAGTATATGTAAAGCTAATTTCTAATTATTATTCGATCAATTCTATTGCGTACCAGTAATTTATTATCTAATGGAAAATGAAATGACATGATAGTTTGAGGACTAACTTTTAGTTTTCGTTAATGCAACGTATAAATTTCTTTCAATTTCGAATGCAACAGGCCGAAAGCAGATCCACTCCGAGAGTAGGCAGAGGTGACTTGGCACAGCAAGAAGGCGCAGGTAAACTGAACGAATTATATGTTTCTCAAAATTTTTATTTCGAAATAATGTTGATCCATCTTGTATTAGATTACATTATGAATGAAAATATTCGTTGAAATATGTATGTTTTTAATGTTAGCAGGCGATGTGGGAGCTGCAGGTGATCCTGGAGCAGCGCTAGGAAGGGGATCAATGCGAGGCAGGCGAGTCATAGTTCCAGAAATTCATACCAGACCATCCACTCTGATAACCAAAAAAGGTTAATAGTTCTTCGAAAATATGAAAGAATTAGAAAAATGAGATGTTCTTTGTAGTGCACAGTTCAAAGTAATTAAATTTTTCAGGTACCACTGGAAATCCCATACCGTTACAAGCGAATTATTTCAAGTTACTTGCGCAAACCGATTGGTGTTTATACCAGTATCGCGTAGACTTTGCGCCAGAAGAAGATCGAACTGTCGTTCGAAAAGGTATGCTTAGACAGCATAAAGAAGCTCTAGGCGCGTACGTGTTTGACGGTACTGTGATGTACACCAGCCGACGTTTAGGAGATGTAAGATACAATCAAATAAATTGCAAATGTATTTTGCTCTAAATCAATTTTTCGTTTTTAAACAAGCTCTTTACTGTTGTATTGTTATCGGTGAGGTGAACACGAAAGATTAATTTGATTGCAGGAATTGGAGTTCTGGTCGCAAAGACAGTCCGATGATGAAAAGATCAGAATCAGCATACGCCTTGTTGGTGACTTGAAAAAAGGCGATCACCAGTACATACAATTTTTCAACATAATCGTGCGAAAGTGTTTAGAACTTTTGAATCTTCAAATTGTTGGACGCGATTACTACGACGCACGGGCCAAGGTGAGTGCAATTCGTTTCTCGTTGGTTTATGTAATATTATGTACGTTATGGCATTTCTGCTATTTATTATAATTCACATTAGGTGGAAATAAGAGACTTCAGGTTGGAACTGTGGCCTGGTTATTTGACGTCTATCAGGCAGCATGAGAGCAGCATGCTCATGTGCGCCGAGATTACGCATAAAGTGATGCGTCAGCAAACTGTGTTAGATATACTAACAGAATGTTACGAGAACAATCAACGAAATTATAAGGTAAGGACTTTCACCGTTATACAAATATATATATTAAATTTGATTGTTGATGAAAATGTATTTTTAGAGTGCGTTCGAGTCCCAAGTTATTGGTTTAGTCGTGTTAACCGATTACAATAACAACACATATCGTATATCGGACGTGGATTTCGACGCAAATCCCAGTTCTACCTTTCAACTGAGAAACGGCGAAAGTATCTCGTACAAGGATTATTACAATAATAAGTACCGAATCAAGATCCAGGGTGATTCGCAACCGATGCTTGTGAGCAAAGTAAAGGCGAAGGATCGTCGGGCTGGCCAACCAGAGATCATCTATCTCGTTCCCGAGTTGTGCCGTGCAACCGGTAATTACCTCTGTATCTTGTATTTATCCTTTAATTTTCAATGTCTCGAAATTCGTACTAGACAGTTTCTCTTTGATCAATATTTATTATTAGGCACATCGTATATCGAGCTGTGTGATGTTACAAATAAATAAATAAATAATATTCTGCAGGTATGACTGATAGAATGAGAGAGAACTTTCAGTTGATGCGAGCCTTATCTGAGCACACCCGTGTATCTCCACAGGCACGTATCGACAAGCTCTTATCGTTCAATAACCGGCTTCGATCCCAGCCAGGAATTGTTCAAGAATTGAACGAATGGAATTTAAAACTCGACAGCCATTTGGTTAACGTGCCGGGTCGCGTTCTGCCACCTGAGAAAATAATATTAGGTGGTGGTAGAAGTGCATCTGCTGGACAATTCGCTGATTGGACACGAGAACTGCAGTCGAAACCGGCATACAATGCTGCTCGACTCAATAACTGGGTGCTGATCTGCGTAAACCGTATGAGACGAGATGTGGAGGTGAGTTTATTACAAGTATTCGATCTTTTGCCAAAATCCAATTTTTCGTTCTCGTCAAATCAAGCATTTTCAAAAATGAGCGAGACCGATGAATATGGGATACATTTCATTTTTACGATGCTGTAGCCATGATTTGTAATCACCAACAAATATTTATGATAACTTGTATTTTTTATTTTACAGAGATTCGTGACCACGTTACAAGAATGCGCCAAAGGTATGGGATGCGCTTTTGACAAGCCCAGGATCTTCGAAATCGGCGACGACCGGTCAAACACATACACGGAGTCGCTCGAAAAAGTAATGAGCTCTACAAATCCTGAACTGGTCTTCTGCGTGGTCCCGAACAATCGTGCAGACCGATATGGCGCTATAAAGAAAAAATGCGTGGTCGACAGACCAGTTCCGTCACAGGTATTCCTATATAAAAATGTCACATCAAAAAATGTACGGTCGATAGCTACTAAGGTAGCTATCCAAGTGAATTGCAAACTTGGCGGTGGTCCGTGGAGCGTCGACCTGCCACCGATCAATCTAATGGTAGTCGGCTTTGACGTATGTCATGACCCGTCCGACAGGAGCCGTGACTTCGGCGCGATGGTAGCTTCATTAGATAAAGGTTTAACGAGATACTTCAGCGCGGTCAGCCACCATTCCTCGGGTGAGGAGTTGTCCAATCAATTTTCGACGAACTTAGTAACAGCTATACAGGATTATAAGAAATTAAACAAAATCTTGCCATCGCATATTCTGATTTACCGTGATGGCGTCGGTGAGGGTCAAGTACCCTATGTATTCGAGCATGAGGTTACAATGATAAAATCGAGGTTACACTCCCTGTATGGAGAAGCTCCTGTTAAAATGGGTTTCGTGATCGTAACTAAACGTATTAATACTAGAGTCTTTCACGGTGATAAAAATCCGCCACCGGGTACAGTGATCGACGACGTGGTCACCAACCCGCTCCGTTACGACTTTTTTATCATACCTCAAAGCGTACGCCAAGGAACAGTTACACCGTGTGCGTTCAACGTGATAGACGATACTCTAGGTTGGAAGGCCGATCAGTTGCAACGTATGACATACAAACTATGTCATATGTACTTCAATTGGTCCGGTACGGTGAGAGTACCGGCACCTTGTCAATACGCACACAAATTAGCATTTTTAGTTGCTCAATTTATACGTCGACTGCCGAGTACACAGATGGCAAATTTACTCTACTTCCTATAAACACTTCGCAGTATTCTCACTCTCGTCGTACTAAATACAGTATAAGAAATAGCTTATCAGAGCAAAAACAAAGTAAAAAGCTGTGAAAGAGAGGATGCGGGCTGATCATTATCACGGTATTTTCCTATCATGTTTCTTAAGATTGTTTTATTTTTGCACTGATAAACTACGTAAACGTAATTGTGATAAAAGATATTTTTGATGAATATCATCTGGTTCGTGTTACCATATATATATATATAGTATATATAAAAGTACAAATGGAAGTATATTCTAATGAAGATGTTCCTTGCAAGTTCTCATTGTTTATGAATAGTGTAAAGAAATCGATCTCGCGTGGAAAGGGATCATATTAGTGCATGATTTCTAGAGCTCGATAGAATTATTAATTCTCCTAAATAATCAAGTCATTCATGTGTTATTGTTATCTCAGTTTTTAGAACATTCTTGATACAAACATAAATTTCATACTTATGTAAAAGCAGTATTTTTAAGAAATTAAAATGTTGTTCCTAATATATTATTATTGATAATATAGAACGGTCTAAAGTAAAGAAATACAAACTGCACTCTTCTACAAAAGTAAAAGACTTCCATGTTCATGAATCTAGAACAAGCTCAAAAAGTATTATACATTCGCTATTCAGTATTACAAGATATAATATGACGTCTTTATATAAATATATACCTATGCGTTAAACATTTCCAGTTTTTTTTTATCATAAGCATTTTATTGTTTTCTTTTCTTTTTTTATTTTTCATGATAGGACGATTGTTTTAATACATTCTCCTCTTACATATTAATACATATACGTAAAGTATGTATAAAAGTACAAATGGAAGTATATTCTAATGAAGATGTTCCTTGCAAGTTCTCATTGTTTATGAATAGTGTAAAGAAATCGATCTCGCGTGGAAAGGGATCATATTAGTGCATGATTTCTAGAGCTCGATAGAATTATTAATTCTCCTAAATAATCAAGTCATTCATGTGTTATTGTTATCTCAGTTTTTAGAACATTCTTGATACAAACATAAATTTCATACTTATGTAAAAGCAGTATTTTTAAGAAATTAAAATGTTGTTCCTAATATATTATTATTGATAATATAGAACGGTCTAAAGTAAAGAAATACAAACTGCACTCTTCTACAAAAGTAAAAGACTTCCATGTTCATGAATCTAGAACAAGCTCAAAAAGTATTATACATTCGCTATTCAGTATTACAAGATATAATATGACGTCTTTATATAAATATATACCTATGCGTTAAACATTTCCAGTTTTTTTTATCATAAGCATTTTATTGTTTTCTTTTCTTTTTTTATTTTTCATGATAGGACGATTGTTTTAATACATTCTCCTCTTACATATTAATACATATACGTAAAGTATGTAGTATGTTTTCATTTATTGCTCGACGATAAGATAGTTAATTAGAAAAAAAGAGTATATTTTAATTTCACTTTTGTATATGTATTATAAGAAATAATTTTTATTTTTGTACGTTGTGATATAAGAAAATAAAGATTTATAAACGTATATTAGATTTGTTTGCATCAGAATTTCCTAGTAAATTTTCGATGTTCCAGCCTGTATAAGCAATTTGTGATAGAGATGTTGGGAGCAATAAATCTTAACAGGATGTTCTTGTCTGTATCACCAATCACCCTTTCTCTTTTCTGATGACAGGGTACAATCGTTTTCTCAATTAGTCAGCATCTCGTTGTCGCTTTGGAACTTTACAATGTTAAATCAATTCTGATTTGAGATACTCGTTTTTATTTTTCCATCTTCCAGTTTATCGCATTCCCCTCTTCTTCTCTTGATAAGTAAAGTTATTTTCGATGACCTTTTGTGTATTTATATTATCGAGTCGTGATGCGTAACGTACCAGTTGTTAACAATTCGCAATGCTCCGCGTATCGTCAAGAAACAGAGTTCCTCAGCTGCAAATGCTTAGGCATTTGGTGACGGACTCAAAATACGGATTCTTGAAACAGTTGGGTCTCTCTACCGAAAATCCTGGTCTCTACAATGGACAATGGGGAGGATCCGGCAAGGTATATTTTCTTTCCCAAACATATAAAATTTTTAATTCAGCATTTCCTCTCGCCACAAATCGTAAACACCTATTTTGTGATGCAGGTTGTAGAATCAGTTTCACCGATAACAGGCCAAGTAATAGCAAAAGTTCGCACAGCAACTTCGAGTGAGACTAGCGAAACTATCGCGGAGGCACGCAAAGCCTGGACTCAGTGGGCATCGTTACCAGCCCCCACGCGAGGAGAGATAGTGAGGCAAATCGGAGATGAACTCCGACTGAATTTAAGGCCACTAGGACAACTGGTGTCCTTGGAAATGGGTAATTCTAACATTTCTTTGACCCTTGGATATCTTGATGATAACATGATTCCTTAGGAAAGATATTGCCGGAGAGCATAGGAGAAGTTCAAGAATACATCGATATATGCGATTACGCTGTCGGCTTATCAAGGTCGTTATCTGGTAGTGTATTTCCATCTGAAAGGCAGGATCACGCGCTTCTAGAAAAATGGAACCCCCTCGGCGTCGTTGGTATCATCTCTGCGTTCAACTCACCTGTCGCGGCAAGTCTAATAATTCATTGAATTAATAGTATACGGTAGAAGAAAATGTTAGAGACAAAAGCTAGGCAAACGCATACATGATCGATATCTTAGGTATACGGTTGGAACAGTGCAATAGCAATGGTTTGCGGGAACACAATGGTCTGGAAAGGTGCACCTACCACCCCACTGGTAACTATTGCAACCACGAAGATCATCGCGAAGGTACTGGAGCGAAACAACATCCCCGGTTCCATCGTGTCGATGGTTACTGGAGGGACGGATATTGGTGAAACGATCGTCAATGATAGACGGTAAACTTAAATACATATTTTAGTGCAGAAATATCGCGTGAATATTTTGTACTTTTATCTCATGCGGATAATTATCACTTCTATTTTTAGAGTACCTCTCGTTTCATTTACTGGAAGTTGCAGTGCTGGAAAACAAGTGGCACTCAAGGTACAAGAACGATTCGGCAAATTCTTATTGGAATTAGGAGGCAACAGTGCACTTATAGGTTGTTAATTCGTTTGTAATTAATTATATTTTTCATTCTAGCGAACTTTATATATTGCTAACATTTGAAATTTCTTTCGCGACAGTCGCTGAAGATGCCGATGTTAATCTGGCAGTTAAAGCCGCGTTATTCGCGTGTGTCGGAACAGCTGGTCAGAGATGTACCAGTACTAGGAGATTAATCCTTCACCGTAAAATAAAGGACGAATTTTTAGGTAACAGAATAAATAAATTCATAGATCAAAGGAATTTAAATAAGGCGTATTCGATTAATTCAATCGGTACATTGAATAGGAAAATTGAAGACTGCGTACAAGAGTATTTTGGGAAGGACAGGCAATCCTTTAAATGAAACTGTTCTGTTCGGACCAGTGCACAGTCAACGCGCAGTGGACGAATATAAGGTATTAATGTCTCTCATAGTACATGCAAAACATTGAATGTTCTTAGATATTACGAAAAGAATCTATAATGTCCTTACAGCAAGCAATTAATACTGCTGTTAAAAACGGAGGAAAAGTTGAATTCGGTGGAAATCAACTGGACAGAGCTGGCTTTTTCGTCGAACCGACGATTATTTCTGGTCTCTCGCACGATAGCGAAATTGTTCAAAGAGAAACATTCGCACCGATCGTATATGTTTTCGAAGTAAATTCCGTGGACGAGGCCATAGCTCTTAATAATAGCGTGCAACAAGGATTAAGCAGTGCGCTGTTTACTAGAGATGTAGGAAATGTCTTTAAGGTAAGAGATTTAGTACTTAAGAATTGCATTATTTTTATTGACCGAGTATGCTTTGTATTGCAGTGGATCGGGCCTCACGGTTCAGACTGTGGAGTAGTGAATGTTAACATCGGAACTAGTGGAGCAGAAATAGGTGGTGCGTTCGGAGGAGAGAAGGCAACGGGTGGTGGCCGCGAAAGTGGAAGCGATGCATGGAAGAATTACATGCGGCGCTCAACTATAACTATTAATCACGGAGATGGACTACCATTAGCGCAAGGAATAAAGTTCGAATGATCGTTTGACTGCAGAACTATCTGCGAATACAAATTTTTTTACGAAGAATGAATAACAGTAATAAAAACCGAACAATTCCTTTTACATCATTTTATCAGATTTGTTAAATAGATATGTACAATTATTTTTCTTTGAAACTACTTTATTATGTATATATCAGAATATTTCATTCATACTCGTTTTCACACACGCATGCACATGCGTTTGAACACGCACTCTAATCAAAATAGAATGTTTGGACGTATTAAGTCGTACACGAAATTCCGCGAAGTAAGAAAAAAATTCAGTGATTTAATTCAAATCGTACAAAATCTACTTGAACATCTACAGAAGTTTTCTTATGAAACCTGTATGCTTTCGGTAAATCGTATCTCAGCTCTGCGATGACTTCGCCTTTAGCACCATACTGTCCAGCCTTTCGTAGAATGTAATCACGCGTACTCGTTTTGTGCAACGAATATACGGCATTCGACGCTATCTTACTCGCGATTTCTAAGAACTTCATATCAGTACCCGCGTTGTGCTTCGTACCAAAAGGTGGATTCATGACCACTGTGTCGAAGTATCTCTCAAATCTACCTGGAATTTAATGACACGATTAATGAAACGTATTTTATTCTTATACATATATCTTATATCTACCTGGTAAGTACTGAAGTACATCGCACTGTACAGCTTCCACGAACAGTTCTATTTCACTGCAGTTTCTTGATTGAATCTCAAGCGCGTCTGGATCGATCTCGAAGCCGATTACGTGGCCTGCTCCAAGCATTTGTGCTCCAAGCGATAAAACGCCGCATCCGCAACCTAAGTCAGCCACCGTACGTCCTTCTATGTCGTCATATTGTGTCTGAGCACAATACAACATACGCGACGCGATATGTGCACTAGTACAATATTGTTCCAGTAGTATTTTAGGTTTGTTAAATCCATCCAATTGTTGTAAATACTCTTCTAACTCGCGCAGCTGAATGCTAGCCATTTTCCTTACATAAGTACAAAGCACTTAGTTTACTTTCTGAAATCGCTTTTATCGTACAGATCGTCGAATCGCTCGTGTCGCCAGTTACAGTTTGAATAATACACTACGGTTTGCACTCTCTTCATTTAGCATCGAATCTAGGGAGAACCGGTAGAATAAGATTGCCGAAGGAAGAATCCTGTGTCACGAAGTATCCTGCTGATGCAGCATGCGCATTGTTCAAGGCTGCTCTTTGGGATGCGCTCATGGCAACACCATCAGAAGGCTGTAAAACGAAACGAAGAAAAATGATGAGCAGAAACTTTTAGGAAAACAAATGCATTTAATACCTGTTACTTTATATTAAAATTGTATTCAGATACTTACTGAATTAGAAGGAGATCCTGTCGAAGTAACAGCTAATGATGTGTTCAACGTTGGTGTAACTCCTTGTTTTAAGAGCATCTGTTTCTTCAATTGCAATTCCTCCAAGATTTTTCGATTTTGCAATTCTGAAATCAAATGAGCCATTTTCGTAAAAATAGAAATAACAATAGTATTGCATAATCTTACCTCTCGAATTCGGTTGTGAAAAAGCCATCAAAATTTGAAATCTCTCACGTTCTTTCTCTCTCTGTATTTCTTTACAACTTAAATTTCGAATCTATTTATGTAAACAAATTTACAACTGAGAATAGGTTACATATCCACCGTCTCTATGAAATGCAATTGGATTTTCCGTTTAGCTTAGTAGAAAAGAAATAAAAGACGAGAACTGGAAATGCAAGTCTGGAAATGAGGCAAGAAGTGAAGAAATTATTAATTACCAACAACATGTAATTAATAATATAAAAGGGAGTTCTTAAGGGGAACGAGAAACGAAGAATACACGAGGATGTGATACAAGCAGAGAGAAAGTTTCTCTCTGATACAAGTGGATACACGGCTTTAAGTCCATGCGCCTCGCGTCCTCGTCCCTTTCTCGCGTGTCTCATGCGGTAAAGATTAGTGACATCGATATACACGACGCATGCGTTGCAATTGGAAGACTCGCGGGCGCCACCTTGCGAGACAGTCCTATCGCAGAAGTTATCTCGAGTAGTTCTTCGGTGGTTGTGTTCGTCCGGTTTTCCAGTGATTTTTCCTGTCTCGAAGGATCCCGGTTACTGCTGCTCCAACAAAACGAGTAAGTAACAACCAGCACACGTACGCTTGTTCTAGCGTCGCGATTCTCGGTTTGGCAGCCGGATCTGAGCGTAAAATCGACGACAATCGGACGTGACAGGTTCTGGCAAAATGGCCGCATGCGATTTACAACAAACGGCTGTGTTCCGCGTACCGTATTCGCGCGACGATTTCGCGTCACCGTGCTTTTCGACGATGTGACACCGGCCCACGGCGTACGGCTCATCGGAAATCGACCAAAATATTGATTAACGGGCCTCGTTCAGTCATTCCAAGCCATGTTGCGCACATATAGAGCGTACATGTTGCACGTCACTTCGAATTGATTTTTTCGTGAATGACCGTTTGCGTCTAGCGACGGTGCGACTACTGTGCCCCGGCTACCGAGTCTTCGTCTGATATTTAAACGCCTCACCCTCGTTTCCGTTCGTTCGGCTGTTGTCTTATCTGTCAGACCAACAAACTTTTGACAGACGTTCGTACGAGTCGTTGTTCAACGATCAGCTGTCAGCTCTGTCAGCGAGTTCAATTCATTTTCGATGTTCTTTACGTCAAACGCGAGTGCGTCGGTACTTATTGCTTGCAGTTTGGCCGCGTGTCCTCTGATGAAAAGTGGTACCGCCACCATGCGAATTTCATTTCGTCCTGCTTCAGCTCGCGAAAACGACTCGTGCTCGTTTCCGTTTCGCTGTCGGAATCATTAACGATCTCGAGTACGTTTCTCGTGGCTAACGGGTAATTAGTCACGACCGTGGTCTCGAGAAAAGCGAAGGTACAGGTAGATATCGGGAAGAGGAAACTGTTTCCGAGACAGCAGCGTGATAGATAGCTAAGTATCGCCTATGGAGTATATCAAATACTTTTAATTTCATTGAAAATAGTCGCATTTCCCTGCATATGCGTACAAGTTTAAACTTCTTCTTACCGTCACGATCATTAGCATGGTTACTTTCTATTAAAAGACTCGAACATCGAATCGAGTCGGAGAAACAATGTGCGCGATAGATACATAGTATTTACATACATATTTACTTCACGCATGCTTAAACGAAGTTTTGTGCAATTTTACTTATAGAAATATTGCGTATACAGAGAGTTTAATAGAAGTATGTAGATGACAAGGTATGTTTCACTTTCGAGAGATAAAACTACTCCCTACATTTGATTCTATTGAATGACATTGCGAACGTTTTGCATAACAATCTGCGATCTCGTTCACGAGATCCGCGATCGGAGGACTTTTCTGGCTCGCGTTAACGCGATTTTATGTAGAAGAAAAATTAAAGAAGGCCGTCATGAATATTTGAACGCATCGCAAGGCGGAATGGATAGCGGGCGACGAGGGTGGGCGGTCGGACAGCCGGTTTATCGATTACGGCGCATCGCGCCGATAACCATCCTCGTAAAGCGTCACAACGATGCAACGCGCTTTCTCGATTGTCAAGGTCTTTTCTCCTTCAACTATTTATTCCCAAGCCACGGGATAGAGCGACTTCCTACGTACGATTTTATGCGAATGAACGCAAGCATCGTAAACATAATAGACTGTACGCGCAATCCGTTCAGTCCTAATTAATTCTGAATCCCCTTTTTAAACTGATTTGTTTGCACTACATTACTATAGTAGTAGTGTCTAGATAGTTGTCGTATAAAAACTATTTATTTGAAATTTGAAATTCTTTAAAATTTAAGAGGGTAGCTTTCGTTTCAAATGTCATTCAATAAACAACTTGTACTGAGAAACAATTGTCTAGGGACATGTGTCTGCGGATCGTTCACGTAGTCTCAAATTTGTATTTTCTCTTCCCTCATTATCCCGCGGATAATGTTCACGGATAACAGAAGACACAATACAAATAATGCATGCAGAATCACCGGTCATACCACGACTTCACTCTGTATACTATTGTAAGAAGTCTGTAAAAGTTCTGATAACCCATTGATTAGCATACCTTATATTTTGATAAAAGATTTCAACCTTGAAACTAAAGGAAGGGGGATAGAACAGAATCTCATTTACGATTACGTGTGTACATAACTGTAAAGCATTGAAATATCACGTGAGAAGCTTTCTCTGATTATTCATTACAATTTCACAAATTTTCATTCGTTCATTTATGCTCTCATTTAAAATTATAATCAGAATCTGAATCCAATGCATTTATAAAAGAATTGAATGTGTAGGTAATAGAAACGTGTTGATGTTCGCGTGTGATGCATAAAAGTATCAAAAGTAAGTGCATATTGCAATATCCTAGTGTTTCACAATTTCAAGTATAAACGGATTGTACGAAATCAGTCGCAGCTAAGGAATAATATAGTATACAGATAGAGTCAGTGGAAATTGTCACATAGAAATGATGTTTCATAGATGCATACATAGAAGAATAGACCGAGTGTCCAATGTGTTTTTCTATGTAAGCACTAATTTAATACATGTTGAATATTGTCAAAAAGAGGGCTCGTAATTCACGTTAATTAGATATTCTTAGCACGATTCTTCCCGATTGTCGTTCAGTCGATCAAATGAAATTGGCTAATCGTGTGTTATTTATTAATTCACTACTTTCCAATTGAGAACTGTTCTCTGGATAGATAAGAGGATCCTCTTGTAAAATAAATATACCTGCAGTATTTTATTATTGAGCTTTTTATTCTGTATTACAGACGATGTCGATGGCTGAGCACTGAATTAATCAGGAGGTGACTGGAGAAGAATCTAGTCGCGCTCGTTTGAATCATTGTTGAGCATAAGCCTGTAAACACACGCGAGGATCATGAAAATGGTGCTGTCTCAACGTCAGAGGGAGGAGTTGTAAGTTTTTCACCCTCAGTTATTACGATTTCATTATTATGTGTCTACGTGAGGGCGCAAACGATATAAGACTCGTTGCATTGATTGCTGAGAGGATCGATGCTGACTTCCACGCATGCATGTGTTTTGTGAAATGACGTCAAATCAGTTGTGATCGTGGTCGAGGCGCGATGGCCGTCGCAGGAGAACCAGAAGGCGTCTCTCGAGCACGCGCGAATACTCGGATCGATAACGATAACGCGAAAAATCAATCCCTCTCTCCTTCTATTTCTACCCTACAGTCGAATTGTCTATTCGATAAGAAGGTAAAAAATATCTATTACGAAAGACCGTCTCAATTATGACCTTTTTTCGAAACGGTAGCATACATCTTAAGGCGAAGAAATGGATGCACCATCTATGAAACACATAGTTGTTTCACGTTGTACGTTTCAATTCTTTTAATTCCATAGTAGAAAAGAATTTTAATGTGTATGTAAAGAAGCCGAAGCCTAATAAGGCGGGCACTTTCGGTATCGTAAGTGATCACTTGTAGTGATCAATGAAACCCTTTACGTGCCATCCACCTTCTGTTCTTCCCTCGTTCTATTGTTTCCAAACATCTGGACACAAGCGAAAAATAAGATGTTACAGTGTTTGGTTTCGCTTTTCCCTCTTAACAAAGAGAAATTCATATTTTAGATATGAACTGTTCAATTCCTTTGACTACTGTACAATTTGCTATCATTATCTCTGACAATAATTAGACTGCGGATTTTATGCATTTGCAGAAAAACTGGATCTGCATAAAGAATGCATATAATGTGCGGAACATAAAAAGTATGATACAAAATAACGTCACGTTCGAACGCTTTCTTAGACAGTGCATGTGGATATCTGTTACCTATCATCATACCTGTTACCGTTTATTCTGGCTGCTGGCATTTGAACACCGGGAAACAAAAATCCCGGTGATAATTCGTTTGTGTGCTAACTTACTATCGCGTGGAAGCGGCTGGTGAATAGAGAGAATAATGACCGACTTCAGGCCTTTCACCCCGGCATAATTCTGCTCGACTTTCAATCTCTTTCCCACGTACTCAACCTGTGCCCTCCGTTGCATCGACCTACCTGCTGAATACCTGTTTCTACAGTAATATATCGATACCTTCATTCTAACACCGCGTATCAGCACGTTTAACGAAATTTTCGGTTTTCTGTCAGCAGAAAGAGATTTATTTCAAACTCTTCAATTTGCTATCGAATTTATTTTCATTGCCTCTTATAATGTAATTATTTTATTCAAATATAAATTAATTGTGCAAGATCAACCCATGTATCGATCATCATACTAATCAATAACTTTTAATAGAATCGCAATATCTTTGCTATAAACATGTGCAATAATGTGTACCGAACTATTTCATTTTTAATTTGATTCATAATAGGACAATAAGGTTTTAAGCAATCGTCTTATCTCATTCCAGAAATAAGGCGATCGCGGACTACCTCAGCACCAACGGCTATCAAGATGCGCTCGAAGCATTCAAGAAAGAAGCCGATATGCCGGGAGAGGTGGAAAGAAAGTACGGAGGCCTTTTGGAGAAGAAATGGACCTCGGTCATACGCCTGCAGAAGAAGGTAAATTTTAGACGGTTCACACATTCCTCAAATCTTCTGTTTTACTTTTTTCTTTGCATTTGTCTTTTTTAACTGAGATTCTGCATACTCCTATTTCCTACTTTTGCCGTATGACTTATTTTTTGCTTCTAGCTCATTCAGCGAATAAATGATTCCTGTTATGTTGTAGGTAATGGAACTGGAATCGAAACTTTCCGAGGCAGAGAAAGAATTCATCGAGGGTGCACCGACACGTAGCAAACGATCACCATCTGAATGGATACCGAGGCCACCCGAAAAGTACAGTCTCACTGGCCACAGAGCTCCTATCAACAGAGTTATTTTCCATCCAGTTTTTAGTCTTATAGTGTCCGCTAGTGAAGATGCGACCATTAAGGTAAGGACATATTAATTAATTAAAAATATGTGCTAGAAAATAATCGTTTCTTGCGAAGAATAATTTTCTGATCGGTATTGATTCAATCAGGTATGGGACTTCGAGAGCGGTGACTTCGAGAGGACATTAAAGGGTCACACCGACAGTATACAAGACGTATCATTCGATGTCACCGGAAAATTGTTGGTCTCTTGTAGCGCAGACATGTCCATAAAGCTATGGGACTTTCACCAGTCGTTCGCCTGCGTGAAAACCATGCACGGACACGACCACAGCGTCAGCTCGGTCGCGTTTGTGCCACAAGGGGACTTCGTAGTGAGCGCTTCTAGGGATAAGACCATCAAAATATGGGAGGTCGCGACGGGTTATTGTGTCAAAACGTTGACGGGGCATAGGGAATGGGTACGGATGGCCAGAGTCAGTCCTTGTGGAGAATTGATCGCCAGCTGCTCGAACGATCAGACAGTGCGAGTCTGGCACGTGGCAACGAAAGATACGAAGGTATGTTGTATTCAAAATATAACCTAATGATTCTTCTGATATATTATACATAAATTATATACGTAAATGAACTGCCGTTATTTATTCCATTTTATTGGGTAATAAAGCATAAAAGATTACAGGAATCGCCTTAAGTTTTTAATTGTTACGTATTGGAATATTTTTACTAGAAATGTGTAATGATGTTATATAACGAAATTAAAGTGATCGTGAGTCATTTCGTTGCTCGACAATCAGTACTGTTGCAAGATGAAATCAATCGATTGGCAAAAGTAGGATAAGAGCGCTATTAATGCATATATTCGTTTCGTCGGATAGTCGAAGATAAATTCTCCTTTATTCGAATTTCATAATATCGCATACTTGCAACAGGTTTTAGAGAAATCTTTTTTTTTTTAATTTAAGACCATGTGTGTAATTTTTAGGTCGAACTCAGAGACCACGACCACGTAGTGGAGTGTATTGCATGGGCACCGGACAGCGCCAGGGCATCGATAAATGCCGCTGCAGGGGCAGACAACAAGGGCGCGCATGAAGGACCTTTCCTCGCGTCCGGCTCGCGGGACAAACTGATTAAGGTGTGGGATGTCGGTGCCGGCGTGTGTCTGTTCACTCTGGTAGGACACGACAACTGGGTGCGCGGCATCGTCTTCCATCCTGGTGGCAAGTTCATCGTCAGCGCCTCCGACGATAAAACCCTCCGAGTTTGGGACACTCGTAACAAACGAGCGATGAAGACACTCGACGCGCACGTACACTTTTGCACCACCGTCGGTGAGTCACTTCAGAGTTCCTAATTAAGAAGATTAAGCGATTAAAACGAGGATCGAATTATTCTTTGTTATGTTACGTTATCATCTCGTAATCACGTTTCGTTATCTCTGTACGATCAAATATTCGTGTTACATAACACACGATTACAGCGTTGAAGTATTCATCAAAATTCAGCCTTACGCTCATTCTTACATCATTTCGTGTCGTAGTGCTAATCTTTATTTTCCAACTTCGCCGATGAGTCAGAAAGTCACGTTAAGCGCGATGTTCAATCGTGTCGTTTCATGATACGGTGACGTGTTAATGAGAAATAATAATCGTTTGTTAAACGAGGGGCACTGGCATTCCAGATTTCCACAAAAGCCATCCGTACGTGGTCACCGGTAGCGTCGACCAAACGGTGAAGATCTGGGAATGCCGCTAGTCACTAAAACATCCAGGTTTCGTTGAACCTTCGTCGAGGAAAAAAGATTGGAAAGAAAGGCGAACGATATGCGCATCGAATCCGATGGAAACGGCCGAGAGTAAGCTGCTGCTACAAAATAAACGTTATCGTACATATTACTATTATTAATATTAATATTATTATACACACATATACACGTACGCGTACGTACACGTTAAGAGCTCTTTAATTAATTTATAATAAAGTATAATTAGTAATTATTAATATTACAATATACGTTTTACGGTTACGAACCGCACGATTCGAGGAGAGTTGCTCCGCCTGCTGGGGTATGTGCTCTCACTTTCTTTCGCGGAGAGGACATTGCCATAATTTAATCAACGGTGCGAAAGAATAACGCGATTATTTCTGGAGTCGATCGGCAAATGAACTTTTAACAACGAGCGTCGATTCGAAGCGATCGGTCGATCGTTTCACGGGAATTATACGTAGTCCTAAAACTATAATAATGCCAAATTATATACTATGCACGTGAACAGAACATGAAAATTATTTAAGCTTCGATTCAACATCTGAAATTAACATAAATCCAATCTGTTTAAGAGATTCACATTTTCCGTTATGAACGACTTTTCGTAACAACGAGCCTGGGACTTCTTTCATAATTCTTTTTGGTCAAATAAATCTATTTTACAATACTTGCCTAGCTTCTACCCCTTTGTACTCAATGCGGATAGAAGATAGCTGTTCTAACATGCCTCTATGTATTCTACTTTATATTTAATAATAATCATTTCGAGCATCAGCGAAAGTAACGAAATCAGAAAGCATGGGATTCGTTACAATTGAATTGGTAAAATTAGTGAATACGTTTGCTTCTCTCATCCTTCGCGGATGTTGAATCGATACCAGAATTATTTCCCACAGATACTCAGTATGCCTGACTCGTTCGAAAGCGCCGTCGTCCTCCTCGAATCGCAAAACGGGCTGACGAGAATTTCGATTGTACCACCGTCACAATCTTAACAATGAAACATCATCGCGTGTCTCGTTATTGTTCACTGACGCTAACTTTTCCTCGAGAGTTCTAGACGATGCGGCATTCGAAGAAAAAAGAACAATGATAAACACCGTTACGTTCGACACTCTCGACAAAGATTCAAGTATTGAAAAGAGAACAGAAAAACTAAAATATGTATGTATATGCATCATCCATTCGTCGTATACTGAGCGTCGATAAAATATAAAATAAAATCCTAATGGATTAATCGAGTACATAGCATGTTTCTTTGTAAAAAAATCAAGAAACACAGACGCATACACTCGCTTACATACATAGACACAAGGAATGTAACAGGAAGCGTGGCGGGCTGAAGACGGATCTGACTTTTGGACAAGCGTAAGAATTTTTGTACGTTCTATTGTAACCAAATTCAAGATCTTTTCATCGAAGAAACGAGTATTGGCAAAACCCATCGAGGCTTTTTATAATCGTTCAACCGAGGGTCGATACGTCCGTTTCATACTGCATAGAGTGTATGCGTGTAGACTGTACGTGCGACGAAGCTGGCTCGATGAAAAATGACAAATGTCGAGCGATTCGCAAGGATAATACGATAGCGTCGTTTATTAACCAACAGATGAAAGCGATACGACGACCGGTCAACGTGCATTATTAACGATAACGTGGTCGAACGTGGTGGAAAGCATGCATAATTCGTGAGAAATAAGAAGCGCAAGGAATACGTGCAACCGAGTATTTGTACGGAATTATTATTATGCAGCTGCATGATTCGTTGCGTGGGTTCCCCAGACACGAGAAGAAGTACTATAGTTGTATATTTAGCTCTAACTACTATTAGCGGTAGCACAGACGTATCCCAGCGGTAACGTAGACAAGAAATAAGAGGTAAGAAATAAAAAAAGAAAAAAAAAAGAAAAAAAATAGAATGAGGCCACGGATGAACGATCGATCGGTACAGATCGAATGAACAAGCGAACGAAGAAACTAAGTCAAAAAAACAGATACACTCATTAATGCGCGTATATTTACGCAGGTAGTCAAGAGCTCGTGTAACAATGCTTAATCGATTAAGGCCGATTTTTTCAAACGATATACTATATAGTTCGCTATTACATTTTTCCTACCATTTTTCCTTCCTCGTCTAGATAACCGTCACCCCATCATTCCCGTTAATCCCTCTTCTGTACTCCCATTTGCTCCCTTTATTATATCTCCCAACAAGGGCCAAGTCATTCAACTCGATGTGGTACTAAATTATTTTGATGAACAATAAAAACGAAGTTCTCATTCACTCGTGTTGAACGTCGTTCTGTATTGTACTACCTGTGTGTTTCGTCATCGTTCGTGCATCGTTGTTTGCCATTTTTTCGATCCATTGATAATAAAATCTTGTAGTAATCGATACTGGAAGTTCTGTTTCTTTTTGTTGGGGAACTGATATATTATTATTCTTACTTGTGTCGACATACATTGGAGAAACGATGACTACTTTAATGAGACTTAGACATTGATCGAAAAATGCGTCCTCGGTTGCTTGAATCTCAGTCCCTTTTTCTATTTCTCTTTGTATGACGATTTCAGCAAAAGCGCAACTTTTCGTTTCCGAGGGAATGCTAGATCGAAGTTTCCTTTTGTTCTCGTGGCTTTAACTATTTGTAGCAAATAGAAATCAAATCGAATGTTCGATCATTCTTTTGTATTATAACAAAATATCGAGCTTAAACATTTCCTCCTAGAGACATTAACTGACCTATGTATTTTTTTCCGTTGGAAGACTTATTTTTTATTACTTCTTATCATTGTACGAATTGAACGTACGCGGCTCATGGTATAATCTTCAACTTGAAACATTGCACATCTAAGAAAATCATATGCACTCACAAGGTGCGTCAATAAGAAACTCGAAAAGATCATTTGAAATTGGTTTTACTTTGCCTTGGAAACATGAATTTCGGTTTAACAAGATACAAGTATGTATGTATTCGATGAGCTCCGTTGTATAATAAATATGTAGAAAATTTCGTTTAATAAAAAACAATAACTTTTTATTTGAAATGACATTTCTCATACTAACGCAGTCTGTATAAGAAATTGCATCTGGAAAACATTTGTGTTAATAGTCGCTGTTACATCTCTCTTATAAATAAGATCATTTTCGTACAACCTTAGGTATTTTTCTATTTCTATTCCTATTTTTTACGTTTGTAACTTCATAAAAGTTGCTACCAATTTTCTTCCGTTTACTGGCTCTCTCTAGAGCTCGCCGTTGTTTACTTGTTAATTTCCTTGCTAACGAATCCACTTTGGAAGGCATGGAAGAAACTTTAAACGTACCACTACTGGCTACCGTTTTTACATTTAACATTTCGCTATCACTAGAATCGTAGTCCTCTTCTACTTCGTCGTAAGCACTCTGCAATAAAGTGTCCTTTTCCAGCGGCAAACGAATTTCATCACTCGCATCTTCTCCGTCCTCTTTCTTCCCATTTTCTGAATTCCCATCAGAGTCCATGCTTTCCTTATCTTCAATCGATGACGTATTCTCCTCATCTTCAATTTGACCGATATCAGATGAAATTGAACTGGTTTCCTGTGTATCGTTTTCTTTGTCATTTACAGGTGTATCAGATTCAATAGATAGACTATTTTTTACATCGTCACCCGAATACGGTAAACCGACTCTAATTTTACGAAAATCTTGAATTACGGACAATTGAATTTTCGGTGGCTCTTTGCTCGGTAGATTCTCAGTTTGGTTCACGACAGTATTATCCTCAGCATTATTGTCTTCAACAGTTCTAGCAGCATCGTTGTCTTCATCGATCACTGATTTTGCTAATGGTTGCTCGAAACCAGGAGGTGCAACGTAATACGGTAGTTTACCACGTTGCCAATCATTCAGAATCATTCGCGAAACAATCGTGATATCCGGCTCTCCCTTCTTTAATAATTTCCCACTTCTACGCGCCAGCTTTTCTAAGAAATCGACATGATCGTTCCACTCCATAATTTTGTAAGTTTTCCGTATATAGTCTTCTCTCACGCGCGACAATACTTCTGGAATATAATCTTCCGGGTTCTGAACAAGCTCCACCCTGACGACACCTTTCAAGACTTTCTCAGAGTCGGTTTCTGCCGATGGGTAAACCACGCCTGGGCAATCTATTAAGTAGATTCGCCTCATCAAAGTGATATATTGCCACACTTTCGTTTCACCTGCTATCGGTGCTACGCTGCACACTTTCTTCGATCTTAAAGTATTTATAATCGAACTTTTACCAGTATTAGGATAACCAATGAAACCTACGCTGATCTGTTTCTTATCAGTATGCAATTTTGCGAACTGTCGTAACAGATTTATCAAAGAGCCTTTGCCAAATGGATGCATCATCGAAGCGTGAAACGCGACAGTTGGATATTCAGCGCTTAGAATCGCGACCCATCTCTGCGTGACCCACGTCGGAACCAGGTCAACTTTATTTAAGATAAACATTAAATGCTTGTGAGGTTTTTCAGTTTTAAGATACTTCTCAATGGGAGGCGATCTGGTTCCTAAAGGATCTCTGGCGTCCAGTACTTGTAAAACGACATCGGAAGAATCTATAACTTTATATAATTCGTTCCAAATTCTTTTGCTTTGGCCAGCGGCCATGACCCAATCCCTCTGCGCCTCTCTGACACCAGTGTCTGGACGTACGAGATCGACATCCTTCGAATCCTTTTCCATATTATACTCCTCCTCCTTTTGTTCTGCCATTTTTTGAAATTCGTCATAGGAGGACACAGTTAAATTCGGTTTCTTCCGCACCTTCTTTGGACCAAAAACACTTTCGAAATTTTCTGTATCCAGCACATGCACTCTCGCCTTCGCAGCTTTCTGTTCAAGCAGAGTTATCGGCAATTGGGTTGGTTTCATGACAACTTTGTAAGGATCTTTCATCGCTTTGCCCAATTCACTTTGAAATTTTTGCAAAGCATTTTGAGAAATGACCCTTGAATTACTGAACCATCTCTGAGAAGGTTCAACGCGAGACATGGTGCCGGACGGTTGCCACCCTTGAAAGGGCGCGGGGCTGATGATCTTTCCTGTTCGATCTCGCTTCGGTTTCGAGTTACGATACATCTGTAATCTCTTAATCGTTGCTTTCGTTCGAACTTTAGCTACACCCTTCAATCCTTCTGTGGGCCGTTCGGGATTCATACTGTGTCCGGATCGATTGAATCCCTCCTTTCTAGGAGCTTTGTTCGTTACACGTGATTTTGCCATTTTGCCTGAAAGACAATGTATTTGATAATTAAAACATTTGATGTTTTAATGAATTCATTATAATTAGAGTAGTGCAAGTACAATACTGCAAGTAGGTAGTCTAGCTGTTGAAAAATTGCCTTACGTTCAATTAAAATTGTTATAAGATAGATTAAAATGGTCTCTTACTTTTAACTTGTCCGCAGTTATTATAAATTGTATAAAAATACTTCAACTCTCAAAATCTTGTATATTTCGAGAAGGTTATCCTAGAATACCGAGAGCACGTGGTTACGAAATGCACTGGTAACCACTTACTAGTATCAGTATCACACATTCAGCTTCAAATGCGAAGTCTTGAAATAATCGTGTAGGACCAGTAATTGAAACACGTACGTCAAATAATAATAAATGCGTCGTGAACAAGCGTCTACGTCCTCTAGATCTAGATCTAGGCCTAGACTATATGGACTATATGAGAATAAGACTTCAAAATCGACAATTCGCCAGTAAACCAGTGTTGTATGGAATGAAAACAAATATCTCTCGAAGATTACCGATGTTTGCCGAATGTAATTTAAATTAGTGGTATATCGTCATCTCGCTCTAAAGGTTGGACTATCTCTCATCCCTTTCATCATAATAGCAGAATTTAATCCTCGATTACATAGGGCTTATTGTATTTGACATTCGTTTCACATTGTTTCTATGTGTTGCATATAAAGATTCGTGCGCAAATGCATCTCAATTCGTATGGGTTTTCCGTAAAAACTGCGTACAACTGATTCTTACATAATTTACGTGACGATTTGTATATAGTTAAATGAAAGATTTAAAGGATCGTTAGAAAACGTATTCCGAAAGAACGATTTCATATTAACCTCAACTGTAACGAGAGCTACGAGTATTATGAAACATTAAAATAGTCTAACGTGGGAAAGAGAGAGAAATACTTTTGTAGCATATAAGAGCTTCTTGTAACGCAGTCAAAATGCGTAGCCGTAGTAATTCCGGTGTTCGTTTGGATTACTACCAGCGAATCGTACACAAAATTATAATGAAACACCAGAACGCAGTGACCGGGTTGTTCCCTGCCAGTCCTGAGAATAATCATGCATGGGTACGGGACAACATCTATTGCATCCTCGCTGTCTGGGGCCTGTCGATGGCATACAAAAAGATCGCCGATGCTGACGAGGATAGAGCCAAAACATACGAACTCGAACAGAGCTGCGTTAAATTGATGAGGGGCTTGCTCATGGCAATGATGCAGCAGAAGGATAAAGTAGAACGCTTCAAATCGAGCCAGAATCCTGACGACGCTCTGCATGCAAAGTACAGCTCTGTTACTGGGCAGACGGTCGTGGGAGACACAGAATGGGGACATCTTCAAATAGATGCTATCGCTCTTTATTTATTAATTTTAGCACAAATGACTGCGTCTGGTCTGCAGATCGTATTCAATTTGGACGAAGTACGTACATTGTAACAGATGAATGAAACAACAATCTATTATACATGAAATATGATTCCAGGTTGCGTTCATTCAAAATTTAGTATTTTACATCGAGTCAGCTTATTGCACTCCCGATTATGGTATTTGGGAAAGAGGCGATAAAACGAACCATGGGTTACCCGAATTAAATGCTAGCAGTATTGGAATGGCAAAGGCTGCGATGGAAGCGATGAATGAATTAGATTTGTTTGGCGCGAGAGGCGGACCTACTTCTGTGATTCACGTGTTAGCGGATGAAGCGCAGAAATGTCAAGCTGTTTTGCAGTCTATGTTACCCCGTGAATCCAATTCAAAGGAGTTAGATAGCGGATTGCTGTCTGTTATAAGTTTCCCAGCTTTTGCCGTGGATGAGCCTAATTTAATCCAGTTAACAAGAGACGCGATTACTAAGAAGCTACAGGGTCGTTATGGATGCAAGCGATTTCTGAGAGATGGATACAAAACGCCGAAAGAAGATCCCAACAGGTGAATTAAAGGAAGCATTTATAGGAGTGTCTAACATGTTTATGTATGCAAAGCATTTTTAACTGATACAGTACATCGTTTTACAGGCTTTATTACGAACCATGGGAATTACGTATGTTCGAAAATATAGAGTGTGAATGGCCTTTGTTCTTTTGCTACTTAATTGTCGATTATTGTTTCCAAGGCAATAAAGAGGCTGTAGTAGAGTATTCGAAACTATTAGAAGATATAATGATCAAAGCAGAAGATGGAACGAGATTAGTACCTGAATTATATTCTGTAGAGACTGCGAATGTGTCAGCGGAGTATGCTGAGCCGGGTAGCCAAAAGCGAATCGCCTTAGGAAGATGTCCATTTATGTGGGCTCAGTCTGTTTACATATTAGGCAAACTGTTGCAAGAAGTAAGTATACGTGCGTGAAGAAAGAATAAAATATCGACATGTGATTAATGTTACGAGCAATTATACGTGATGAGAAATAGAATCTAAAGAGAAGCCAAATCTTTTATAGGGTTTCCTCGCAGTGGGAGAATTGGACCCATTGAACAGGCGTTTATGTAGCGAAAAGAAGCCAGACGTCGTGGTGCAAGTTGTTATTTTAGCAGAGGATGCTGAAATTCGAGAGAAAATAGCTCAACATGACATCCACGTCCAAACGATTGCCGAGGTCGCTCCGATCGAAGTGCAACCAGCGAAAGTTCTTAGTCACTTATACACGTATTTAGGTATGTTCCATACAATTATCGCACATTATTACTCGTAGAGTTAGATTGCCGCTTTCTATGATCCGTTTACTTGTAGGTCAAAATAAGAAATTGGGAATGTCCGGACGTAAGTCGAGGGACGTAGGAATCTTGAGCACCAGTAAATTATACGCCTTGAACGATAAGATATTCGCGTTCACTCCCCAGGTAGGAATTCTGTTCGCTCGTCGAACTCCATTTACTCTCTTTACTTTTTATTTCTTTTCTTATACTGGCTGCTCTCGCATCGAACAATTAGTTGACAGACATGACCCGCTTCTACATCGCATCGGACTATGAGCTCATGATTGACATATTCAAAGGCGAAATTAATTTCTTGAAGTCTAGCTGGCAGAACATGTTAGGCCGGCCTCTCGTGGTCATGCCCCTCAAGAACATTCATCTAGGTACAGTAATATAATATTAAAGAGAGCCATAGTTTTCATCTGTGTTACTTTTTATCATTTTATACGCACGAAGGATGAAGCTTTTAATATTACGAAACTTCGCCAAGTAACAGAGATAAAACATATGGTTTTTAAATAGTGAAGAATTTTTTCTCGGAGTTCCCGTTCCTTTATCACTGAAATTATGTAGAATGCATAATCTAAATAAACATCTAACATGTCTGCCTGCATGCGTGCATTTGTCTTTGTTACGCGTTTCGTCGCTTAGCGGTTACGGAAACCCTTAATGCTAAAATTGATCAGCAACAATTTGTTTTAGCTAGTCATTAATTTTTCACGAGACACTTGAACGTTAAATATATCATTGTCTTCATCATGAGCGAAAACGTTGACAGATTTCGATAAACAAAAAAAAGAGATAGGACCCATGGGGAAATCGTTTTCTCTTGTATCATGAAACCTAACATTTGTAAAGAGACAGCTTATGTGTGCGATACGGTGTGCGCGTTTGTTGCATGTCTTAGACCTTTGACGGAGAAGAGTACTACACGACAAACGATGCAGCCCTCCTTGCTGACACTTTCACAAGCAACCTGGCCTTTCTCACCATCAACTGGAAGCAAATGCTCGGCAGGCCAACTATAACACTTGTTGCTACTCATAATCATCTAGGTATGCCACAGGCAGCTTTAGATAGGAAAAAAGTTTTGTACTTCAAACTCTCGTTTCGAAAATATTCGACTTATCAAAAATAGTGCATCATTAACGATTGTCTTATCATATGTGAGGAACATTTAGATTCATGGACTGTTATGTTCAAAAAAGATAGAGAATATTAGTAATTTCATACATATGCACCAAACTAATAAAATCTCATTTGTTTCAATAAGGTGACACTACTAATTTCATTTAATTTCATTCGACACTGTTGTTGCAGATCAAGGGAAGATACCTCTGGCGATGATAACTACTATGAAGAAATTGAAGAGTGGCTATATCAATGGGACGAGAGTGTCGTTAGGAAACTTAAGTGAATTTCTAAGCACTTCGTGCATCACGAATTTGAGCTTCTTAGGAAGTTCCGAGGACGGTAGACCCGACAAGTTGAACCCACAGGTAAACATTCTTATTAGAAGACTCGTTGTTAAACCGCAGATTTTTGTGCAAAATAAAACTTGTATCAATTTAAAACAAGGTTCAACAATATTTAGAAGAACACTTAATGCGTGCATTGCCGCATCGCACAGGCCTCCTCAACAGACCGATAATACGAACTAGTAAATATTTGAAACGCAGAATGTCCGTGAAAGGCGCTATAAAGAAAACAAGGTCGATCGCCGTAGAACGTAAGACTACTACACTTTACAATATGCTTTAATATTTGCGTCAGATTCAAAATCTTAACTTTGATTGCATGCTACTTAAAGCGGATCCTTAACTCTGTACAATGCGATCCTAAATATCACGGTTCCTACCATCCTGAAAGAACGTATGTAAGTCTACTAACACGTCAACGACTAATTGTGAAATTATAATAAAAACGCAGAGCTGAATAATACTGTATGAGATTGAAATGAATCTAATGACTAAATAGAGTTCGGTAATTGCGGACAATTTGAGTGAGAGCACATAATTGTAATTTGGAGCTGAAATTTTTGGGATGGCAGGAGAGGATAGAAGACCTTCTACTATTTTAAATGCGAGTCCGTTTATCGAAGTAACAGACACGACGTTAAATCCTAATCCAACGTAGTCGATTTCTGTAGATCGAACTCCGTCGCCTACGGATGAATTAATGTCTTGGACGAATTCTCCGAAGCTGCATAGGCACAGGGGTGTGAGCGAGACTCAGTACGCGGATACGGAAGTCGAGGAATTGTTATCTATGCTTCGCGAAACCGAAAGTTTAGAGGAACAAGGAGATATCTTGCAATACCTCGTAAGTCGTCACATATTGTGTATAAAATAAAAATAATTTTAATCGTATACTGTACGATTTAAATAGGTCGATTCGCAAGGATTATACTTTAACACTGACATGGTCGAAGATGGTCACCCGATCCTGATAAAAGATTTATTAAAAGACCTGTACGAAAAAGCTTGCCAGCAAAAGATGTGGGGTATCGTGCGTCACACCGCCGGCATGTTAGGGAAGCGAGCCGAGGACTTGGCCAAAGCGGTTACCGATCTGTTGGTTCGTCAGAAACAAGTCACAGTCGGGATGCCACCGGCCAACGAGCATACTATCGTTGCGCCTTTGCCGGAAAATGAACTCCGATCTTTGATTCATCAAGCATACGGAGACGACGAGTCCACTGCTATGCTGACGCAGGAACTGCTCGTTTATTTGGCGATGTTTATCAGGACGGAACCCCAATTGTTCCATGAGATGCTCAGACTCAGGGTAGGTTTGATCATTCAAGTAATGGCCACGGAATTGTCAAGAACGCTGATATGTACCGGAGAGGAGGCGTCCGAACATTTGCTTAATTTATCACCGTTCGAGATGAAGAATCTTTTACATCATATCATGAGCGGGAAAGAGTTCGCTATTAGTAGCGGTACGTTTATCAATAATTTTCATAAAGTGTTACTTCGCCTATTTTGTTCAATTATACAAAATGGGAGACTAATAATTGCTATTTTTGTTTCTAGTTGGCCGAGGAAACTTTTCGGTTATTAGTTGCAAATCTAGTAGAGTCAGCAAGGTAACGTAAAAGATCGCTACAAATATTTATCGTTGTAATAAAAAGAGTATTCGAATGCTTCAAATTTGATTTCAGAAATCTCAAATTGGAGGTTTCTTAAGTGCTGATCAAGTTGATAACAGTGACGGAGAACCAGATCGTCAGGGTCAGTGGTTACGACGGCGAAGATTGGACGGAGCATTGAACAGAGTGCCACGAGATTTCTATCCTCGAGTATGGCAGGTACTTGAACGAGTAAGTACGCGACAAAAAATCGATCTATTTATTAGGTATAAAACAAACGGAATCATAAAGGGAGAGAAAGCGAGAGAGAGAAAAAGAATTGTTCATTTACATCATCGATTTTCAGTGTCAAGGTTTGGCGATCGAAGGTAGAGTTCTTCCTCAAAACCTTACCCAAGAAATGACCTCCGGGGAATTAAAATTTGCCCTGGCTGTTGAAACTGTTTTAAATGCTATACCACAGCCAGAATATCGTCAATTGGTGGTTGAAGCACTGATGGTATTAACTTTAGTAACCGAATACAACGTGGCTGCTAGCCTGGGCGGACTCATTACCGTTGAACAACTTGTTCACAAGGCTAACGCTATCTTTTTAGAGGATCAGGTATATACTACATATATATAATTAAATCGTCCGTTACAAAATTCACATTATTTAGGTTGCGAGTCTTTTAAGCACGGAACTTAATTGATGAAGCAAGCAAATGTACATTTATAAAATTGTGTGTTTAAATGAAACTAGATGAAAATTGATGGCGACGCTACATTGTGTTGTGCCAAGCCGAAGGAACACCGCGAGACAACAGCGATGGGAAATCTCCTTTGCGGTGGAGCAGCTTACGTTTGTCAGCACTTTTATGACAGTGCGCCGAGCGGTAGTTTTGGGACGATGACTTACATCACAAGAGCAGTAGCTTCGACTTTAAATTGTTTACCGAAGGATGGCGATTTGGAGTGTACAATATCGTAGTTCTTCGTTTTTTATGAATAGTCAATTTTAGTTAATATGTACAAGTATTGTCAAATGGTGAAAGTTAAAGGATGTAAGAAAATTCTAGTTTTCTATGCCGAAATTATCTTTCTTTGTAATGTATTAAGTACACAAATCGACATGAAAATTCGATTTTATTTTTATAATGGTTATGTACAAATATAACTTACGGGTGTTATTCCGATTTCTGATTACTAAAAGGATTCCACTTTATAGACCACGTGGAAGACCTATACAAATAAAGAGATATTGATAAAAATTGCCTAGAATATAACGTCTTATAATGTTTACATAACTTTAAATTAATTTCAGCATACCGTGCAACAGTTTGTTGTGCAGCTTGGATTTCTTCTTCCTTCAATTTTGCAAGCAACTCAGACCTATACTGGTGTTTCAAAGGTTTCACAGGTTCCTGTGATTCTTGCTCTTCTTTGATGAATTTCATACAAGCATCTTTGTATGTTAAACCATACCACTCGATTTCTTTTCGTGTATACTAGAAAAAGACGAAATCGCGAATAATCAGTGATGAAGTTATACAATATTGAAATCATATTAAAAAGAATACGGTACCGCTGTTAAGTATTCTTTGTATTTGTTATAAATTTCTTCACTTTTAACGGGATCGTCGGGATACAATGTTTTATCAGCCAAAGCTAAAAGTATTTGACGTTTTATTTTGAGGGCGACCTCAGATTTCAAATCGCAGGCAGGACTCTGTGAACGATTAGTTATATTCAATATTAAATTACACGAAAGGTTTAAAATTGATTTAATTAATGCACGTACCTTCAATAAATAATGATCGAAACCGTAGTGTTCATTGATTAGATCTATAGTTCTGTTGGTGACAACCACGCTCATATACTTATCTAAAACTTCACTGTAAACCACAGACTTTTTAAGTGTTGGAAACCAGAAATGCGGGTATCTCCGATTGTATCTATGTCTCTTTACGAAGCCTTGAACAACACTCTCGCCTCCCCATATGCCTTGATGAAATTCCTTTGGGTATATTAACGGTATTGGTACTTCTTGAACCGGTGTTCTAAATTTAATTTAACAATCATGTGTAGTCGGACGAGTCTTCGTTCCATTTAATGTTCGAACAGTACATTACTCACACTTCTTCGGTCTCCGGATTTCTGAAATATTTTCCTTCTGGTTTTATGTAATGCACAGCAGCCGGCATTTGCACCTTCCATTCTTTCCAAAACTTTCTGTATTCATCTGGCAATTTGGAACCTATTCCTTTCGTCCAACGTGTTTGTCGTGGTATTCGATATAAACGCTATAAATGTGTACTTTACAAAACCATCTTACAGAAACGTGCGTCTCGAACACTATTTTAACTTATAACTTCAATAACAGTCACAATCTATTTTATGAAGATCTCCGTATTCGTACGTTTAATCAAAGACAATATCGAGCTGTTTAAATATGATTAAAAAATGCACGTAGATGAGAGACGAGTGCAGGAGGTTACAATTTATCAAATCCTCTCTTTTAATACGGTGTAACGTACTTACTCCAGACAGTTCTTTCAGCGACATGTTTTATACGTTAATTAAATTTGTATAAACGGCATCAGAGGCAGGAATCGAGGCAAGTAACAATTTAACAACAGAAGTAGAAAGAGAGACCCGCTGCCCGCTGCTACGTTCAAATTAACTCTTGCTTGCGTGCAGAAACTATACCGTCCTCTTGATCAGGGACAGCTGCGGGCAATCAGATACAATCATTTAATGTGCCATATTGTTATGGCATGATAAGAAAGATTTCTCCGCATCCTCAGATAAGAGATCTTAGTTTCGACGTGAAAAAAGAGTGGATCAAAGAAAAATGGCGATTAGACCGGCTTTCGGTCACCTCGCGGTTCGCTGACAATAATGTGAGAAACGGGTATCGCACGCTGTACGCCCACACGCCTATCGAGTGCCGATAAGAGACTCAACGGATTTCTCATCTTCATCTCTACGTTCAGTACCGCATGTGCCGCGCACACAGCCACGATGAGTATTCTGAGAAAGAGGTAAATTTCTACGAGCGTTAATTAGTTTCCGTACATTTTCATTCAAGAATCTTGCAATCCCTCGCATAGGTTGAACGATTTCGATGACACTCTGAACGCCGAAGAAATAGATCTTGGCTGTCTGAAACGACTGTGCTTCCACGGTACGAACTTTTGTGAATGTCTCTTAATATTCTTTGTGTCTTGAGCTTCCACTGGATGCTGTGTACAGTATCTGTCATTTATCTAACCGAACGACGACTGATTATAGGAATACCAGATGAGGGAGGTTTAAGACCGTTTTGCTGGAAACTCTTATTAAATTATTTACCTCCGACCAGGAGCAGCTGGTCCGAAACACTTACACGCAAGAGAACACTTTACAAGACTTTCATTGGTACATGTCGTTCCTTTGTACTGATACTGAATATGGCACAAGAATCAAATAATAATGGAATGGTTGTTTCATGTAGAGGATCTCATAGTCACGCCAGGTGAAGCGAACAGTGATGGGGAAAGAACAGACGTTACTCTTCACGATCACCCTTTAAATTTAAATCCCGATAGCAAGTGGCAAACTTATTTTAAGGATAACGAAGTCCTTTTACAAATAGATAAAGACGTTAGGTAAGTTAAACATGATCTGCTTCGATAAGTGATTAAAATTCAAAACTACTTTTATAGGAGGCTGTGTCCAGATATATCGTTCTTCCAACAAGGTACAGATTATCCTTGTCAAGAGATTGTAAATGCCAGCGGACAGAAGCGTTTGCATCACAGAGTACAGCACACGGTTTTGAGAAGCGCGAACGTAGAGAGAAAAGGACTTGGTGTTACGAAGGTAATTTTTCATTAGATAAATAGGATGTAGAACTGAGAGTCAGAGATAGAACTAATTGTTTTTCTTTTATTATTATGCTGATGGAAAGCAGCAGGTAACGTCGTTTAATCAACTGAATGCATTCTCTTATATGGAAGTAATCGACAATGTCTGCTTTTTCACAGATAGCAGTCTCCATTAGGAAGGCTTCGGAGGACTACGCGCCGCTCACGGAGGGTGGCGAGGCACATTGGGAAGTTTTGGAAAGAATACTTTTCCTTTATGCAAAGTTAAATCCAGGCCAAGGATACGTGCAGGGCATGAACGAAATCGTTGGGCCCATCTATCATGCGTTCGCTTGCGATCCCGATCCAAACTGGAGAGGTAAATCTCGAAGCTATATTTTCTTAAGGCGTTCATAACCGAAACTCTTCGGCATTTCGTATAGAACACGCGGAGGCAGACACCTTTTTCTGCTTTACCAACCTCATGAGCGAAATTCGAGATTTTTTTATAAAATCGCTGGACGAAGCTGAATTCGGAATAAACTCGATGATGACCAAGCTCACAAATCAAGTTAAAGCTAACGATCCGGAAATCTGGATGCGTTTGAACCAACAGGAACTTTGCCCGCAGTATTATAGTTTCAGGTAAGAGGTAATAGTATTCTTTAGAATGAGAACTTTGTGATATTATAATATCAAATTTTGTATTAGATGGTTAACGCTTTTGCTCTCGCAAGAGTTCCCGTTGCCCGATGTAATGAGGATCTGGGACTCTCTGTTTGCCGATGAAAACAGATTCAGCTTCTTGATACACATCTGCTGTGCCATGATTTTGTAAGTGTCATTTATAGTATCCGCGCATCGATAACTTTTTGAATGCGATCTAACGTACAATATTTTCCAGACTCCTGAGGGACCAATTACTCGCTGGTGACTTTGCTACCAACGTTAAACTTTTACAAGTAAGTAATACGTAAAGTAGTGAGAGTACTTTTAGCTTAATCATTTTTATTTGGAATTTCGTTTCAGAATTTTCCATCAATGGATATTCAAATAGTGCTCTCGAAAGCAGCTGCGTTAGCAGGTAAGAGTCTGAATTCGCCATAGCATATAGAGCCGTGCTGAAATCAGAACGTGAACGAAACCTTTGTGAAATGGGACGTCATAACATCCTTCAAGGTACCTATGCGTACGTACCTTTAATCAGTTTCCATTTTTACTCGTTTATCCCATTTCGACAAAACGAGTCAGACTCGTATACACAGGTTCAAACTGTATCTCCGCGCAATTAATCACACGTTCGGTCTAGACGGTTCGCATATTAAATATGTCGTAACGTATTGGTCTCGCGTAAGAATGGTCGAGGAATAAAATAGTTTTAAGCAATGTTTTATACTTTTGAGAACTAAAAACCCTCCTCCGTTTATAACGTAGGAGACTAGGAGGATTGTTAGAATCTAAATTTAGCTCTCTGTTTCCTCACTAAGCGATGAGATAGAGAGGAACTGATAACCCTTAACAAGAAAAGAATTAAATATAAATTGAACGGATCATTTAATGGTTTCGTACATATATCAAGTTATTTGCCATTGATAAGATTCGTGGTGGCTATCTCCTTTTCGTTCTTTTGCTTCGTAAGAAATTTTTACTACTCTGCTATATCACGAGTTCGATTTTATCCAATTAGTCGAACATTATTTTATTTGCTAGGAAACTGTTACTCTAAAAGTTTATTTGAAAGTATAGTTTATTAATGTTTCTTGTTAAGAGTTAACAAAAACACGTATATAAATTGTGCTGTGAAGAAAATTCAACCATACTGGAGATGTAATTCTGTTATGTCCGAAAATGATGATAGAAGCGTTTGCATATTCGAATCGGCGATCTGATATTCTATGATATTTCGTAATAAAAGATTGTGAAACGTAGTCCGGTAATTACTATAAGTAGAAGAACAAAAAAAGATGAATGAACGCGTCTACGATTTCGGCTGCTCGCAATATGCATTTTGTAATCGTTAAATAATAATGGATTATGATCGTTTGTACGCGTAATAATTATGTTTAAGTGAAATATTATATTTTGTAATCTTATTTTTGTAATGACCTGCGTCGTTCGTCCTACGTTTACAAAATAAAAAGATGTTATATTTGCATAAACGTTATCTTCGTGGCTTCATACTGTATCCACAATATATATCTGCGATTATCAGATGACACTTTTAAGGAACGAGGGAAGTAGTTTTATTAAGTTTCAAAATAATTCATTTATATTGTTCATTACAAAACGACATTAATTTGATCATTACCTTATTTTTCCTAATCATTTCTCCTGTATAAGATAGTTACACATCGATGTAGTAAGTAGTAACTGAATCTTTAAAAATATATCTTATGTTTTTTGCTTTGTTATTGGATGATGAACAAATAGCTTCAAATTTCTCTCCTTCGGTTTATGATGCTAATGAAGTTAAAATTGCTCCTGTTTCGTGAATCAATTTAGTGCATACGTTTAATGAACTTTCGTACAGTTTCTAGTAGATAGAGAATTAATAAGAAAAAATATCGTACCAGCATTTTCCAGTGGGTATTTATACCTACAACTAAGGAGATCCATACATTTGTCGCATCATAGCATGATCGATAATAACGGAAAACCTAAATCTATCAACCCTGTATATCTTTTTCCATTTCAGTGAATATCTTTAATTAATAAAAGAGGTTTTAGGTCTTCTTCTTTTCATGTTTAACCAGACTTGACTTTGTCCGTGGAAATTTCTATTGAATTATAAAACATAATATAGAGAAGTCTTAATTACAAAGAAATGTACAAAAATTGTATACATAAATCTTAATATACCGTCAATCCACGTGTCTTAGTTTTTTTTAGTTTTAGTGTTTCAGGGATGAGATCGTTGTCTTCCAAATCCGCGATTAACTCCTCTAATACCTTCAGTCTCTTAAGTAATCTATTGTTCTGTGTTTGCAATACTTTTATCTTCAGCGATTTCTCGTGGTTTTTCTTTCGTATCATTTCTATGTTTAGTGCAGCTTTTCGAGGCGTAGAAAAATGTTCTGGCGCAAGATCTCCTATTCTCGCAGGACGCCATATTTTTCTTTTTTTAACAGGCCCATTCGTATCTTCCGATTGCCTATAGAACAATTCCCCAATAATACGGGTTTTCCCAAAATTGACACTACTATTGAAGTTAGAAAATGTAAAATGTACCACTTTGACGTTGCTGACGAAGGTGGATGAATTTGAATACTAGCGTCCTGAGTATTTGGTGCCTTTGGTAAATTACATTCATTACTTGGAACAGTGACTTCACTAAAATAATTTATGTAAGAAATAGATTATTATACAAATGTAAATTAGTCAGGCTTAATGTTCTCGTAATAAATTATGAATGCCTACCGTTCACATTCCTGTTCTTGGTTTAATACAAAAGTCGTGTTGGATTCAGCGTCAGGGAAATAAAGAATGGTAGAATCCTTAGTACTTGGTACCTCGCAATCTTCTTCAGTTTGTACACTAATTTCGCTAAAATAATTCACGTGAAAAATATATTATTCTATATAGCCAATGTCATGGATTAACATTCTTATAAAGAATCGTGGATGCATACCATGAGGAAGTAGCAACTTCAAGCTCACATTCTGGGGGTTGGTTTAATACGGTTGTATTAGATTGGGTGTAAGGTGAATACATTTGGAAGCTGGGGTTCTCGATAGACAATATCTTTGGTACATTGCATGTCTCTTTAGATGGAATACTACTAAAATAATTTATGTAAAAAATGTATCATTGTATCATCGATATTATGGATTATTATTTTTGTAAATCATGAATGCATACCATGAGGAAGATACGACTTTGATTCCATATTCTTGATGTTGTTTGGACGACACGGAAGTCCGATCACACTGAGCATAAGTATGATCTTCACTGTTTAAATATAAATACAACTACTTGTAATTTTATTCTATTCGCGCGGATTTTATATAAAATCGATGGAAACTTACAAGTTACTCGCTGCTAGATTATTCTCTTTGTTCCATGGAAATTTTGACGGTATCGCTGACAGTTTCAATAATCTAATTCCATAGAATCGCATGAAACTGTCCGGCGTAAAATGTTCGGAACATATTTGTATGGATGCAGGTGCAGGTTTCTCTAACTTGCACGCTATTTCCCAAGCCGCCCGACGTTCCCTCGACTTCGGAAATCTGAATATCATATTACATTCATTATGTACCGATCATTATAATAATTGACGTGTCGTTTCATCGAAGTTCAGACTTACGCATGAAATGATATACCATTATTCTTGTCATATTTTCTTCTACAAATGCAACAGTACGATACCATGTTGATTACGTCCAATTATATACATATATATATATACGTCTACTCTTTCGACGAGATAAGAACTCTGAACAGAGGACGCTAGCAAAGAAACCATTCGCTCTGGTTTCAACTGATTTATCGACAAATTTATATTTTTTTTCTGTCCATTTCAAATAATTATTTTATGACATCTGATACCTCGATTTACAACATAAACATAAAATATCCGAAATTAAAGAATACTGATTGACGTGGTGCGAGTTACAAACTTTCCTTCGATCCTATTTCTGGATTCTCTTTCTATTGTTACGGTCATTAAATTAACTATTCATACATATGCGTTTGCAAGGAAAAAGAGGGAAGACACAAATGATGTAGCGAGCAAATGCCCAATTTTATTGTATTAAGGTTGATAAATTTATACAGAATGTTTAAGCGATACTGCTGGCGTTAGATGCGATCCTGGGCCACAAATCCGCGCATTCTTTTGCAACTGGTCCTGTAATAGCCGAGCCTTTCATTTCACCTTTATTATTCACAATAACCCCTGCATTGTCCTCAAAGTATATAAAAACCCCGTCCTTCCTCCGAAATGGTTTCCGCTGCCGTATTACTACTGCTGGCATAACTATTAAAATAAAATTATCATGATTACTTATATCACGACATCTGCTTGAATAATACTGAAATCTAATTTAAATTGTACAAAGTATACAGAATGAAACATTGCAATTACCTTTTTTCCTGAGCTCAGGTTTTCCCTTCTTAACAGTAGCAACAATCATATCCCCTGAACCTGCAGCTGGCAGACGATTTAGTCTACCTTTGATTCCTTGGACTGCAATGACATATAGATTTTTGGCACCTGGTAACAAAATCATTCAGAGTGATAAATATACATTTATTTAAAACTGTGACATGTGAGTGCAACATATCACTCATTGCAAATAGGAATCAATGCAAATAAAAAATAAAAACTTTAATATTGATAAACGACTGTTCTTAATCTTGAACATACTAAGAAAATAAGGAATAATTGAAATTAAGTGTCCTGATTGTTTGGCTGACACTCAGCCATGCGTTGCTCTTATTCACAACACGGTCAAACTTTTTCTAGGTTATATATTATTTTTACGATTTTTCCTGATCACTTACCAGTGTTATCGGCGCAATTTATAACCGCACCGACTGGCAAACCGAGTGATATCCTAAACTTGGCTCCCGCCGAACCACCACGTCCTTAAACAGAAATAATATCATGCCAACGTTGTCACCGATGGACACGTCTAACGCGGTACATCGTTCCAAAACATTCATCAATTTTTCTGAGTATCATCGTTATTAGAGAGAAACTATTTTCGTTGTATGGCACATTAAACATTCGTTACACATTTTCACATCTTTCTTTGAATCCAAGTATTGCAACACGCTGGATTTCAGTAGATTTTCTTTGCACCGATAAACAACTTACCTCTCTTCGACATCTTGCCGTGTTTAAAAGAGAAAAGACTCTGTCGGACACTGCGCAGCGCACCTCACGCATCACGCAGACGATCTTGTATCGTTTCCGATGCGGGAATATTTGTATTCGGTATTTGAGGAATTTCGATCTGTACGTTATATCGTCCTGCGTTGATGTACCAAGGAGATACTTCGGTGTAAGTATTTAAACAAGCCTCTTCGTAAATTATTGTATATCTCTTAAAGTTTAATTAATAAAGAAATAATTGAAATTAAATTCAAACGTCTCGTTACTTACCTATGTCATATTCCTATATATCCATGTCATAGTTACAAATAGAATAGAAATTTAAGAAACTCTTAGAATCGCGACGTCATCGCTAGAATTAGTGCCACCTCTTACCTCCTCATGCTCTCCTGATACAAAGTTTAAAAGTTCGAGACAAATTCTTGTTCTCTCCAAGAATTCTTGGAAATTATGAGCGATACCTCCTACCACCTTATGTGCTCCTGTTACGAAGGAAGATTTTGCCCAAAATCCCCTCTAAAATCAGGCTTTGTATCAGGAGAATATGATAGCATAGGAAGTGGCATTAACTCCTTGTGATGACGTCGCCTTTACTTCTCGGAGACAGAAATTTTTCTCGAAATTTGAACTTTGTATCAGGAGCACATGAGGCTACAGGGGGTGGCACTAAATTCTAGTGATGGCGTCATTTCCAAGAATTTCGCAGCGCAGAATTTTATGTACTAATGCAACTAATTTAATAGTGATAAGGGCTATTATTTGAGTTATTGTTCTCGTTGAGAAATGAGTGTTGGTCATTCTAGGAGTAGTGGACAGGTGAATAATTAGACAGCGAGACATATATGTGCGTTCAACAAGATTTTTATTTTACTTTTAAATAAGAACTTAAAACTAAAGGTACATACATACATGGAAAGAATATCGTAAGCGATGTGTAATGTGCCTAAATTTTTTATTACTGTTTATGCAATATTATGTATATGCAATGTACACGTATATGCACGGGGATTCGATGTTATTAAATTGTTATGACACTGGTTTAATTTGTATCGCAAATAGAAAATCGAAATAAAAACTGCCTCCGTTCTGAACATTCATTCCCTTGTTTTGTCGTTGGATGAGGTTCGGGTTGGGAAAGAGGAACATAAAATTCTGGATAATCGTTAGCGTTAAATTCAATTGAATTATTATACGCAAAATGCCTTGTCCTCTTTTGATGGAATCTATTAATCTAGAACTGGAAGGTAGACGTTGAAAACTAATTCGAATCATAAATGAGTTCACGTAGAACTTAACCTCAGGTATTTCCGAATATTTATTACTTAATTCGTTTTATTCTTGATTTTAGGACAAGAACAAGAGCTTAAGAATATTACTTTATATCAACCGTACGAAGTTGAGCAGATTTTATTACCAGACAATGCAAATTGCTTGGCTGTACAAGCTTTTCTAAAGATGGTCGGCATTGAATTTCAAATAGAACCGAGGAGCAACGCAGAGTACATGTCTCCTTCTGGTCGAGTTCCATTTATTAAGTGCGATCCATATTTAGTATCTGAATTCGACAACATTGTGCAATTCCTAGGAAACAAGGGAAAAAGTTTATCTGAGCATCTTTCCACAAACAGTAAGGCTGAAATGAGAGCCTACATATCCTTAGTGAACAATATTTTTGTAAACGCCGAATTGTATATTTGTTGGGTCGATAAAAATACTTTAAACGAAGTAACGAAACCTAGACATGGGAGCGTATATCCATGGCCGCTGAATCATTTCCTAAATTGGCAAAAGAGAAAAGAGGTCATAAAGAAGCTCAGTGTACTCGGCTGGTACAATAAAACGATAGACCAAGTATGCGACGAAGTTAAACAATGCTGTACAGCGTTGTCAGCAAAATTGGAAAACAACGAATACTTCTCCGGAGAAAAGTGAGTAGAAATTCATCGTAATTTTTTATAATTCATCTTACTCCGAATTACATGTACTGGGAATTATGTTTTGCATCCACTTAGCGTTTTATTATTTTCAAATAACAAAGGCCTACCGAAGTAGATGCTCTCGTGTGCGGTCACGTATATGCCATGTCCACGATCGATTCCTCCTTTCCCACCACTGCCCAAGAAGTTGCCAAGATCATACAAGAATTTCCTAAACTTCGCGAGCATGCATTGAAAATCGGACAAAATTGTTTGAGTAGCGCTATGACTGAGCCTCTCGCCTGTGATTTTGAAATGTGCGCATCGTCCTCTAAAGAGACCTTATGGAATTCAGACTCGATCGAAGCACTTCCACCACTTTCAGAAGATTCCTTTGAAATGCTTTTTTAAAATCTCTGCATCTCTCTTTTAACATTCAGTGCATTTATTTTTTGCGACACTACAAGTATACAAAATTGTATCTGTCCGTTTGACTGGAATGATGGTCGATCGTTTCATCGTTTAAATTATATTTAGGACACCTAACGAATTGGATGCCTTAGTTTTCGGGCACATTTTTACAATAATTACGACACCGCTGCCAGGTAACAAACTAGCAACTATCGTCCAAGGCTACCCACTGCTCACGCGTCTCTGCAAACGCATTGAAAATAGGTATTTCCGGCGTTTGGAAGATTAGGTGGAATTAAACTCGGGCTCCAGATACGTCGAGATCAGGTACCCCGACCGTACCGAGATGAAGTTCCTGTGCTACGCGCGTAAGCTTAGCAATGATCACAGTAAGAAACTGCAACCGAAGATGTGTAGCATTTTATAAATAGTACTTTTTCTATTTCGATCAATCAACCATAATGGAAAAAGCTATTTTTGAAATGTTCCAAAGAAATTCGATGCATAGTATCAAAAGCATAATAATAATAATTTGAAACGTAACAATGAACGCATCTGAGGCCCGAGTTCGAAAATATAATGAATAGTAAGTTGCATAGAAAGATAAAAGAATTATTGATAGTTAAATTATTGTAGATGTTGAATATGAAAATTATATTAGTGTTGAACATGAAAATACCTCTGAATGTATCGTTCTGAATATATAATACTGCACGTCACGTTTTTCAGCATTTTTTCTCCTCAAGCAATAGAGATGAAATAAAGTAACGAAATGTTGGAGACGAGAATTTAATAACAGGACTGTTTGAAGATTTCCAAATCTATGTATGTTCTTGGATAACGACAGGAACGCGATACTCGATAAAAGGTATCTGTACATTGAAAGCCCGATTGATCGGTCATGCTCTGAGAATTATTATCGACGTACCTGTTGTTACTATTCGTATTTAATTGGTTCATCGAATGGATTGATAATAACAATTATTCTGTAGTTAACTACTTCCAGTTGACAATAAGTACTCTCCCTTCTGTTTTTTTAAGTTATAGATGTAATGCGTGTCTACTTTTGTATTATAAACCGCTAATCTATTTTCTCTCGATTGAAAGTTTTATACTTTTATTAACTTATACTTTTCTTTAAAGAATATATTTATGAGCGTTAAGGAGCATTAACTTTTAAATGCATAATTTATAGAACGTGTGTACCTTTGATATGACTCAACAAATTTTATTACTCTTCTAGTCAGTTTCGTGTAGAATTGTGTATTTAATGAATAATGTATATATAATAAAACAATGTTGGATAATAATATTTAAACGTTAGTTATTAGTTTGATGTTTAAAACATCTTTCATGATTTCACCTTTTAAACTAAACGTTACAAGATGAATATTTAACAGCAACACGTTCTGGGTATTCATATATTACATCCTTTACATATTTCTTGTCTCCAACGTTTACTTACGTCGAATGACATTTGTAACAAATTAAAAATTTTCTATTCAAATTCGTAATCTATATAGCATGTAAATTCTGATTTATTTCGAAGCATTGTGTCGTAGTTTTACTTATAGAACTGCTTTTTTATAGACAGTGTTTCTGTGCCCTTACTATGACAATCTGTGTCCGTCGAACAAATTTACTGTTAAATGGCAAATAAAATGAATTAATCACATAAACGACTTGTTTCATATACGTATATAACAAGCATGTATTTTTCTTGTCTCCCTACTGATATTTTATTTTTATTTCTCAATAGTATCTTTCAATAACAAGTACTATGTGAAAGCTATTATTACAATACGCACGGAAATGCAGTTTATTGATCTAAAGAGATGTATGAGTGGCTCACAATGTGTTCCATTGTTAAAATTTAAAGGACAAAGAAGAGATACTTGTGTACGAAAAGAAAAATACATACAGCGATGTTTATATCATGAAATTAAAAGAGTGCAATTGGCTTCACTTCTTCACCACTCACACACACACACACAAAATAATTCCACAGTATCAAGTCGGTCCTCAATATACTATCGCTTTAAAGGTTTAAAACTAAATTATAAAATTCAATGAAGCAAATTCGAATATCTTTAAATTCGACAATAATTAATCTTGCACATCTGTAAGTTCGTGATAAACTATTATAAACATTAATTGAAATAATACTATGTTCTCTTTTTCCATTTGACTAAATTATGGATTCTCTTAGTTTCAATACAAATTCTCGGCTATGCTTTACACACAGTTCTATAATTTGATTATGTGAGATAGCAATGATACAATTGTCACACGCACACTTACACAGATACGTACATATCAATATGTACCCAGAATTAAGAAATTATAAATACACGTGTATACGCGCACTCAATGTATCTCTAATCTACACTGATTTATACTTGCAGTGCTCAATTAAAAATTCAAAACATTTATGATATTAATACGCTGATTAACGATAATTCGATTGAGATCATATTCATCTATAACTAAGCTTTAATAGAAGACGTTGCATCTCGAGAGACCTAAGATTATATTATCTATATAGTAAAAAATACTACTCACTGAACTTCGCAAAACGCTGAACAGTGATTAGTAATCGTCGACTACTGCCTGTAGATTCCAATTTTGTTGGATATCATTTTAACTGAAAGCTGATTCGTTTGTGCGGAAACATTTGCAGTGAACAGAACAGATTCGATATAATCAATTATAGTTACAGTTAACGTAAGAAGTATTTTTGTACTGATCATACAAGTTCGATATTTGTACTATTTTTTTTTATTTTTCTTTTTTTAACTTTCTATTTATCTTGCTATGTAGTATATATTATGGAAGTAAGAACTGATGAAAACGGAAGTAGCTTGTTAATGGAAGTTAATATCTTATCAACGTCACTTCTATGTTTGTTCTACCAGTACATCTCGTTTCTATTGAATAAACTTACTATTCTCTTGGGGAACAAATGATCGAGTTAATTATTACGTAGCTTTATCTCATTAATAATAGGTTTCTGCTTAACTTACTTTATGATTGGATAAGTGTATTAAATGGTTTGCGTACCACTGGGTGTATAATGAATATGATTAAATGTCTAATGAAATTACAGTACTTTCAAAACGAAATATAAATTCAACATCGTCGATCCTCTAAACAAAATTAAAATACTTGACTTTTCCAGTACTTCTCAATTTAATAGTACGTTCAATTATTTTATATATATTATATATA